TTTGCACTGCTATCGGGTTTTTGTATTGTTTGTTGTTTTGACTTTCTGACCCGCCCCTACTGGACATTTGTAAACAAAAAAAAGAGCGTCATAACTCTTCGGATTTCTCCGGGATAATTACAGATTGTCGTTATGATCCTGAAACCCTACTCTAGGCCAGCCCGGAAAATATACTGAGAAATGTAGCGCCTTGTGTGTGTATGGCCTGTGCGTGTGTGGTGTATGTATGTATGGGTCGTGTGTGGGTGTAACATGGATGAGTTTTGAATTAGAACAAATTTTGATGTGTTTAGATTCTTTATTCAACGTGTCTTTGTGCCAACTAAGTGACGACATCCAATACCACATGATGCCACTTTTGGCAGGAAAGGCATGGAAGTGACATCATTTCCTGTGATGTCATAATTTCGGCTACATCCAAAGCAAAAAAATATGTATTCACATCATCCGAAATGTAATATCTAGCCCGACGCGTGTGCAGTGTGTGGCGTATGTATGGCATGTGTGATAATTATAGAAAGTGTATGCTTGGGTTGTGTGTAGCTTAGTGCCGGATTATCCTCGTATCAAAAGTAGCATATGCTACGGGCCCCGCACTTTCAAGGGCCCCACGCTCAATGCTTTCAAGCTATCAATTCCGGTTCAGTGTTTCTGCACTTGCTCTATTACTATAGTACTATACTGCCTTCAACTTTTATGAACGACTGGGTGTTTAAGCTTAGCGATTTGTCGTATTATCTGGCTGTATAGCAGATGAAAAATACAATAACTTTACTATGCAAGTAAAAAAAACGTGTTTTAATATTTACGTGTTTTTTTTATGAAGGGCCCCTTCATAACATATGCTACAGGCCCCGCACTAACTTCATCCGGCACTGGTGTAGCTTATGTATTGGCTCAGGCATGGCTGTTCAGGGTATTTTGCTCCCTGTGCTCAGTTCCACACTGATCATCATCGTTTCTGTATTGCACACTTTTTTCACACTTGAAGGAGGATTGCACTCGAACCGTATTCATTGTTGGGTTAAGTCACGTGGTCGTTTTATGCCAAACGTCTTGCGCATTAACCCTCCACCACCCGACTTCAATGGACCTAACCAGGTCTCCGGAAACCCAAACACAGACATGGGTCTTTGTTATTGACAGCGACATTCTACTTCAGGGGTCGGGAACCTTTTTGACTGGGAGAGCCATAAAAGCCAAATATTTCTAAATATATTTCATTGAGAGCCATATAGTATTTTTAACGTATAATAAACTAAATATGTCTTACTTTTAATGCGACTTCTGGTGCTGCGTGGTTTTGCTGATGGCCTCTGGTTCATACTTGGTGAGGTTGAGCTTCATGCAGGCGTGACCCGTGAAATTTATCTTCAAAACTAATTTCTGTTTACTTTAACATGACAGTATTATTAAGCAATATCACAAGTATTTTAAAATCAGTTCCAAACTGATTTTTTTTTTCAACTCAAAATTGTCTGGGAGCCATATGCCGTCACTGGAAGAGCCATATATGGCTCGCGAGCCATAGGTTCCCGACCGCTGTTCTACTTGTTAAGCAATACAGTAGTAACTGTGTGGTGCCGGTCTGAGTCAGACGTCCTGCACCGCAGCATGGTTACGTGTCGATACGGCTGAAACTGAGTGGCAAGACTTGCCACTTTCCGCTTTGCCTTTTTAAATTATATATGTCACACCGAGGGGGGAGGGAGGGGGGTTCCCACCCCCGCCCCCCTTCTGCAAGTTGCACCACTGCGGTTATAATTGCCCCAGTGGCGGATAAAGGATGCAGATGCAGCGATCGGATAAGAAACTGCACACAAAAATCTGTAAAAGCCGCTCGCTCTACCGTGCACGCACACTGTTTTACAATTACACAATTACACCGAAACACAGATTCCTCATTAGGGGGGGGGGGAACAGCACGCATTAACTAAACTTTTCATTTTACCAGGTAAGGCCCCACTGAGCTATGTAGCTCATTTACAGAAGCACCTGGCCACAAATGATGGCTCAACGGAAGTGGCTTTGTGAACGTGGAACTTTATAGCAACCAAATACTCCTAAACCCATGCTTTTAAACGTGGAGGGAAAAACCGGAGGACCCGGAGAAAAATCCACGCAAAATCCACGTAACCACGGGCTTCAGTAAGGATCGGGATCCAACCCACGACCTCCTGTATAACACATAAGGTAGTTAACCATGATGGTCACAAGACCACGCAAATGTGATACGACTAGACCCGTACCAGAGGTCGCAAACGGGTTTTGATTCCTTACCCGTACTCGTACCCGGCCGCACCAGGGTCGCAAACGGCTACCCGTACCCATACCCGGCCGGGTACGGGTAGCCGTTCCCTACCCGTACCCTACCCGAAATGAGTGACAAATGGTTACTCACCATTAACTCACGGACTACCCGTACCCGTACTCGGCCGCACCAGGGTCGCAAACGGCTACCCGTACCCGTACCCGGCCGGGTACGGGTAGCCGGGTATCGGGTAGGGTACGGGTATCGGGTACCCGGTTGCGACCTCTGCCCCGTACCCGGCAACTATACAAAAACCCGATAGCAGTAACTCTTCACAGTTTCAATAATTTCCACCTGTGGAGGTCACTGGGTCCATCCGTGTCTTGGTGGCAGTGGCCTCAGATTCTCTCGCAGTGTCATGTTTGTGCTGTTGGCTTGCTGCCCTTGATATTCCAATTGCCTCTGTCGCTTCACTCCTTTGGTCCATCTTTTTCCTAATGGATAACGCCTCTACAGTTAACAATCAAGACGAATTAAACTCTCCGGTACAATTCTACTGACAAAACGCTGGTGCCCCCTTTAAACACAAGGTCACGCTACAGGTTTGTGACGCCCCTGCCACGTTACCACTTCTCCCTAGCTCGTCCACTTTACGGTTTTGTGCAGTCCATTTATATTTGTCGGTAAGACTTTCCAATTTCGTACGTGAACACCTTCGATTGGACATTGCCACCCTGCAATATCCTGTGACTGAAACCCCTGCCCACGGTCTTGGGCTGTGATTGTCCTTGCAACAGTGCCGCTTAGCTCAATGGGGCCTTACCGGCAGAAGCAAAAGTATGACTGAGTCTGTGAGACTATTTAACTCTACAGACCTCTATGTAACATTACGGATCTCTATGTAACTCTATGTAACTCTATGTAGCTGCGGTGTCCTGTAACTGCCGCCGCTAGCCGACGATCTTGGGCTGCGATCGTCCTTGTAACGGTGCTGCTTTTGAGCTCAATGGGGCCTTAGCTGCTGAAACAAAGTCTGGGTCAAACGCTTCGCGCATCTCATATGCCAACGCCTTAATCCGTGTCAAAGATCTACACAAACACATTTTTCTTTTTTTTGTTCACGCTTAAGCACATTAAACAATGCGAACGGAGCGGTACCGAAATCAACAAAAGGCGCGATTGTTCGATGTCGATTCTTGGCAGAATTTCGCCTCGAATGCCACGCCGTGCGCTGGAACTAACTTGTTTATCTTTCTTGCGCGAGTTTTCACGCTTGCCACGTCCTTGGCTGTATTTTGCCCCTGTGTTTTTTTCTTCTTCACTTTCTTCTTCACCTTCTTCAAAAGAAATTGCGCAAAGTAAAAGTTTAAATACCGGAAAAGTGCATTAATGGGTTCATTGTTTCCTGGCCATTTTCTGCTTGTGAGAGTGCGGGCCATTTCGCATCGGTGTTCAGTTGAAGGCGCCACGAGTATTCTCCGTGCACACACGCCGGGTTGTGTGGTGAGCCGGAGTTCGTATGGAACCCCCCGCCCTGGCTGGGCCCCGACTCACAACTCTCTCTCTCTCTGTGTCTTTGCTGACTTTTAACGTAGACATTTCCTAAATTTACAAACGAATTGAGAGCGCTGGTGAGCACAACGTTACGGACCACAGGGAGCCATTAGGATTGGCTTATGTGGGACAATCTCTGCGATGTTTTCGACAATAATTGTAGCGGTGATTAAAATCAAGTGAGTGAGATAATTATTGGAGGTAAAAAAAAAAATACCATTTTGTACATCGTTGATGACTACGAGTCTGGTACCGATAACCATATGGTGACGGTTATTGTGGTGGATGTTATGGTGGTGTTCGTAATGATGGTGAGGACTGATCCATAATATAGGTTTTTTGGGTTAGATCGCATAAATATAAACATGTCGTTAAACCCGCCACCACCCGACACAGCCAATTAGTAATGTTTGTCATATAAACAGAACGTGGAGAGCAAATCCACAACATTTACAATCTGAGCACAACGTTTCGCCAGTAATTTCAACTAGCATCATCAGGCGGACAGTCAGATTTGAGATTTGACAGCCACTGGCTGTGTGCGTCCCGTTGTTCCAACCCAGTACATTGGCTGTGCCTCTGTGTAGCGGTAAAAAAAAATGTAATTTAAAAGTACTAGGCTGTATATTTGGTTTATTTACATCTGTTTTTTTTTGCAGTTTATGATTTGTATTTAAGACACATTAATCGTTTGTCCTGTTTGCAGTAATTTTTTTGCATGTTTCAGTGTAAATACTCAGTTTTTGTTTTTGCTCTTGTAAGTTTTCACAATGCCACCCTGCAATGTGCTGTAGCTACCGCCACTGCACACAGTCTTAGGCTGTGGTCGTCCTTGTAACGCGAGGCTGCTTAGACTGTGTCTGTGGGTCTCTGGGCAACGCTACGGCTTTCTACGTAACTCTAAGTAACTGAAATGTCCTGTAGCCGCTGACACTGCAACAGAGCTAAATGACTTAAAACTTTCGTGACTGCAGGAAGTCATATTCTTTGTTCTTTCGGTAAAGTCACGTAGATAGAAAATAAAAAAATATATAAATTAAAATTTAAAATATATCATTTTTTTATTTACTTTTTTTTTTCTATCTTCGTGAATGTACCGAAAGAACCAAGAATATGCAACAGAGCTGCCTAACTCAGTGGGGCCTGGCCAGCTGGAAGTCAAGTCGTGTCTAATGGCGGTGTCCGTCCCCATCAGGAGCCAAGCAGCAAGCGCGTCAGACCCCAAAGCCGCTCGTCCTTCGCCAGCCTCATCTCGCCCATGCGCTCGGCTGCACGGACGCTCGGAAAGCCCCTCCAGGTACCGCCTCGCCAGGCAGCGCTGCGGCCTCGTGGGGTGACCGCTTCCTCTAGCAAAAAAATAAAAAAAAAATCTATATTTTTTATTCTACCAGGTAAAGTCCCACTGAGCGATATAGTTATTTTTTCCAAAGCGACCTGACCCTCACAAGTGATCGCCCGACGAAGTGGCTCATCGCGTGGAAATGTAGAGCGGCCAAACACTCCTAAACGCACGTTGATTCTAAACGTGAAGGGAAAAAACCGGGGAGAGAAACATGTAAACTCCAAACATACAGCAGACGTCAGGGTCAGGATTGAACTCACAACCTCTTGTATAACAGACACGTCGACCACCGCGTCGTCCCAAAGCGGCGACATGGCTGAGCCGTACCGCACGTCTACCAATTGTTGTAGCGGCCCTCCCGGTTAATGCCGAGTTAGTTGGTTGGAAAGACACAAGCCGTCTGCTTCACTCTGGGCGTTATTGATCCAGAGATATTATTTGGAAAAGAGTCGGCTGTGTGTGCCGGTGCCCCGGTTCAAATATGCCAAATTTGAAAATGTACGCAAATTACCCCATCGGGTAAAGCCAAATAGCAACATCGCCCCCCTCCTTTTGTGAAACTGCTGCACAACATACCCGTGGGATGTGAAACATAGTGCAATCGGGAGAGCCTCGCACGATAATAATTGCGCAAAATACAGAACTGCACAAAAGCGTTGACTTGATTTGTGCCAGCGTTCCATCTCAAAGCAGGATTGCTCCGACACTTGTGGTAACGCACCATACACTGTTCCTTGATGTGTAGCACTCCCTATTAACCAGAAGTCACCAACCCTTGACGATGGCTCCCCGTGTCTCTGTCTCTCTCTCTCTCTCTGCCTGTCCATTGTCCTTCACGCCACCTTTCCCCCGTGCAGCGTTCTGCCAGTGTCCGGTTTGGGGAAGGCCCGAGCCAGCAGCCGTCTACCGGCTCTCGCAGGCTCGCGGCCCGTGTCAGTGCAGAGGCGAGGGCTGGGCCTTCGGCCGCCAAGCGTCACGACGGCCGGCTCTGGTGCGAGACGTTCACGGACGCGGCCGCCTGCCAGCAACTGAGTGCCCACGAGCTGAAGCGTCAGGAGGTGCGTCCCCCAGCACTTTGCCCTGCGAGGACTTGACACAGCAAGCCGAGTGCTCCTTCCTGTCTCTCGTTTATTTGTGTATCATCATTATTATTTTTAATAATTATTCACCCAGGGAAGCCTTGCTGAGTTTCAAGACGCTTTCTTCAGGAGGGTCCCGCTAAAGTTTGACGACGATTGCTGTTGATGCCAATTGAATAATTTAAGTGTGATTTTTCAAATTTGGACCATGACTCCGGCACAGCACACGTGACTTTCTCTTCCTTCAGGTAACGTCGGAGGATGTCTTAAGCATCCACTGTGAAACAGGCGGCGCATATTCGTGCGTTTGATGTAACCTGCGCAGTATTAACCAGTGCGGCCACGGGGCTCCAACCGCTAACCTCTGCAGCAAGCCGCAAACACGCGAAGCCTCTGCTCGGCCAATGAGACCCTCTTTCTCTCATCCGGACACTCCTCCGCTGAGGCTCAAGACTCATTCGGGAGGCTCGTGCTTTGAGTGTTGGTCAACTTCTTTGTCCAGTACTTTTGTGCGGTGAAGAAAACCACGGTGCGAAGTGGGGTGAGGAGGAGGGTGCCGGATGGGAATACCCGCACGGTAGAAGAGTTGATGCTTAGAATTCGCACGAGCAGTTAGTCAAACCTACGCCTGTGTACTGGCCTCCCGTTGGCATCTTATTCGTAGCCCTACAGACTGGGAGTGCCACGTAGCTTCTTTGTGATGCACCAAACACAACCCTGCCGTCACGACGCTGGCTTACGGGTGTGCACAGCCACTAGCAGCTGCATCTACGCGGACAATGCATCATGCAAAGCCAGTTCTATAATCACCTGCAGTGTTGGCAACTGGCCTTGGCATTTGACCTAATTGACGCGTCACGTATATGTCCTATGTAGTCCTGTAGCAGTTGTCGTTAAGTAATAGTAGTGGTATTCTTTATTTAACCAGGTGGTTTTTATATACAGGCCCGTTGAGACACATGATACTTTTGTCTCTTTTGTAAGGGTGACCTGGGCTTTTGTGTGTTGCCAAATGTATGAGTCCGGTTTGTCTGTTTCAGGTCATCTTTGAGCTTTTCCGTGGAGAGCATGACCTCATTAAAGACCTGCAAGTTGCCAAGAAGGTATGGTTTTATGAAAATATTATTTCTCCCCAAAACACAACTGCATTCTTCACGACAGCCATGAATTAAAGAGAAGGTCAGCAATCGTGTTATTTAACGACAGGGACCGCAACAGTTTATGCAGAGGCTCAAAGCTACCTACCGCATACCATGGACCCTTTACATGACAACATTAAGGACAAAGATGAGAAATTGGAAGTGGGAGGTGCGGGTGAGGAGGGTGAGGGCAGGAGGGATGCACGGGAGAGGGGAGAGAGCAGAATACAGCTGCACAGCTCTGGACCAGCGAGGCCGAGTACATGCCACTGGATATCTGCAGAAAAAGAGCTTCATAGCTCATCGGATTCATCCAGTATAAATACACATTCTAATGGGGATGTAGCAAACTGGGGCAAATCCGGCCTCAAGGTGTTTTTGGGGGGTCTGGGACCCGTGACCAATAAATCCCATGGGCAACTCAGGGAGCCCATCCAGCAACGAGTCCTAGGGGGCGGCAAGGGCAGCATCAATGGCTTTTAGAGAGGTCTTCAGGGGCAATCCAGACCCACCGCCAATAATCCCCATGGGCGACAAAGTGACAGCGGAGGCGGAATGGGGAATGCGGGGAAACATTTTCTGTAGCTCAGCCCCAGAGAGTTCTGGCTGCAATTGTGCCTGGATTGTGGATGTACGTATGTATGCTGAACTTCTTTCACACCGTACGTAGCCAACCGTGCTAATCGGAGGTGCGGGGGAAGGACAATAAAACTAAACACAACAACAAGCAGTTCTGTGCATGTGTAGTCCGTTTAGTGAACGCGTGGTGCGAAGATTCCACCACGGAACAGAAATGACCGACTCACTGCTGTCACCGCAGGCCTACCACGACCCCATGCTGACCCTGGCCATCATGACAGAAGAGGAACTCGCGCAAATCTTCGGCTCTCTTGACTCGTTCATCCCTCTGCATGAAGGTGCGTGCCCGTGAATGGTCGTTGCCTCTGTACATCTCTCCACGCAGAAAACGCCCGAGGTTATTCTGCAGCGGGGCAACGAGGCGGCCCGTGTGGCCAGGCTCGACAAGTGAAAGAGAAAAAAATACAGACCTGAACACGTGTATGTTTATGCAGCCGATATTGTTATTCATAATTGATGCATTCGGGTTAGGCCATGTACAAAGGTGTGTGTCCATGAATGGTCGTGCCTCCACACATTACTCCACACAGAATATGACCCGAGTTTATTCCTAAGTATTGCAAAAGGGTGGCCAGCCTGAGGTTGTGAGTTCTCACCGAGGTTAGGATTGTACCGAATTTTTTATCATCATTATTGCCATTGTCATCATTTTTATTGTAACGACACCGAACACACTTTGTGCTCGGAGCCTTTTTATTTTGGCACAGCACCAACTCTGGGCCCGGCTTCTTGCTTCTCGGTTGAAGCTCGAACCCTCTCCCGAACATCCTCTCTCATTGTGCTCTCGCCTTTTATCCCTCTCGAGCCCCTTCTCTCGAAACTTCTCTCATTGGCTTTTTTCCCCAGCCAATCCCCGTCCTTCCCCCTTAACGGTTCTAAACCGTCGCCTCAACTTCCAACCTCCGTTTCCTGCCCATTTCGGTTTGAACCTCTCCTCCATTCCCTTCAAACCTTGCCTCTCGACCAATCACCATGGAGGCCTCTCTGCACTAATAGGAGGCCTTTAGCTACTTCCTGTCTGTTTGAATGGACATTTGCTTCAGGTGGGTGCTCTAGAATCTCGGTCATTACATTATCATCATAGTCGTCTTAATTGATCATCGTCATCATAGTTGTCATCGTTATAATCGATGGCGTGATCATCGCAATCACCTGGTGACGCTGCACCGCTCATTGGGAAGTCCAAAGAAATGTTTAGATATGGCTAGACGGGTCATTAGAATGTGAAATTTTGCCTTCTGGTTTAGGATTTCCAGATGAGCGCTCCGCTCAAGTCAAGTTCAAGTCAAGTTCATTTATTAGGTATAGCCCTGTGAGCCATTCGGCTCTTGAATCAGGTGCAACCGCAACAAACAAAAAACAAAAACATGAACAAAAAACATCTTAAAGTGAATATGTGACTGAGTGCAAACAGAAAATCCAAGAAAAGACAGCAAAATATTGCAGAAAAAACACCGTACACCAACGCTGTGTGCAAAAATCTCAGTGGGATGCAAGTCAAACAACCAACAACCACAAGACAACTTAGATTAAGGCCATCAGTCTAACTCTCGATACCCAATTCATTATTTGGGGGGTGGGGGGGGGGGGGTGCTGACTCACCGTGAAAAGTGGCCGATCTCGCCAGATCTCGGAGGCTAAGTAAGGGTTGGGCCTAGGTGGTAATTGTGTTGGAGACCACCTTGGACTCGCTGGTGTTTGTAGCCGGAGGTAAGGGAGTACATTTGGTATTCGCGCCATTCTCATGTCGCAAAGGCAGATGTGACAGTTGAGCAATCTTGTTCCATCTGTGCAGAGGATTGGGTGCGTGTTATTGCTTCGTATGCGTGGGTTCTGCGGGGAACCGTTTCCTCCCACATAAAGCCAAATGCTTATTAATAGATTTGGTCAAATTTCCAATTCCAATCGGCATATGCAGTTTCCACCGTCTCGTCGTTTGTCCCATTACACGACCTCCGATTGACCTCGAGTGGACCCCCTCTTCCTCATCAAACCCCGTGTGGTCTCTCGAACCAGACACGGTGGACGTTGCTTCTCTGTCACCGCTCCGCTCGTCTGGAATTCACTCCTCACTATCACCGCACATCGGCGTCAGTATTGGCCGTTTGTCGCGAGATGTTACAAACAGTCGACATGTTAACTACCTAACATCTCGGCTCTGTGGTGGCGAGATGTTAGCTACCTCACCTGGTATACACGAGGTCGTGGGTTCGATCCCGACCCTGACATCCGTATATTTGGAGTTTGCAAGTTATCCACGTGGTCGGGTGGATTTTTCTTTGGGTCCTCCGGTTTTTCTCTCCACATTTAGAAACACAGATTTAGAGCACAACTTTTGTCTGCTGTACATTTCTACACGATAAACCACTTCGTTGAGCTATCATTTGTGGCCAGGTCGCTTCTGAAAAATAGCTATATAGCTCAATTGAGCCTTACCAGTTAAAATAAAAGTACTTTAGTATGTCATAATCTGAACACTCCTCTCTTTAATTTATGTTTTCGCACCTCCGAATGCCCATTTAAGTTCAAAGTGTGCGTGTTACAGGTCTAACAACGAATGGCTGAATCCCAACGAAGGGATGTTCCTGTCAAAAAGAGATGCTCTCTCACGTGTGTTCGTTGTCGTTTATTCTCCGTTGGGGGCGACGCTGCCAATGGGGCCTCGTGTAGATCTCGTGCGGCGGCTGGATGGAGCTCGCCAGGCGGACGGCTCCATTCACCACGTGGGACCTCTGCTGCTGGACTGGGTGAGTCAGAGTCAACATCCGCGCAGCGACGGCTTTTGTTTTTTGGTATAGCCATCGAATAAACTCGGTCGCTGCATCACGCGCTTTCAAGTGTGTTTCTGCGGCCGTCTGGAATGCTCTTACTTCTGACATTAGGAAGCCACTTGAGCTATGGCACTTTCAAATCTAGGTTGAAAACGAATTTCTTTAGAACTAATTTTTGCGCTTAGTTTGTTGTCCTTTCCCGCACTTCAGATGAGCACATTTGGCTATGTACGGTGCAAAAGAAGTTCAACATACATACATTCAGGGCCCACGTGGTCAGGCTTCACTCGTGAAAAAATATTTTCAAAACCTCAATAATTATCTGATGGCATACGTTGCAAAGGTGTGTGTCCGTGAATGCCGATGCCCCCGTACGTCTCTCCACGCAGAATACGGCCAAGTTTATTCCTACGTATCACAGCAGGCTGGGGCCAGCCCAAAGTCGTGAGCTCGAATCCTAGCCAGGATTGGCCCAGCCACATCATCATCATCATCCTAATCATCGTTTTTATCATCATCATCATCCATGTTATCGTACGCGGCCTCACTCCAAAAACAAGACAACGATGAATCGACACTTATCTGCTCACTAAAAATTTCACTGCATGCGCTTCCCCTCCCCTACCTCTCTCTCAACCTCTCTTTCTCTCGCCCATCCTCGCGGGCCACAGCTCCCCTGTCTCAGCGCCTACGTCGGCTACTGCGGGAACCAGCTGGCGGCCAAGGCGCTGCTCGACCGCAAGAAGCAGGACCCGCGGGTTCAGGACTTCCTGCAGCGGTGCCTCGAGTCGCCGTTCAGCCGCCGCCTGGAGCTGTGGAGCTTCCTGGACGTGCCGCGCTCGCGCCTCGTCAAGTACCCGCTGCTGCTGCGCGAGATCCTGCGCCTCACGCCCAGCGAGCACGCCGATGCCGCGCCGCTGACACGCGCTGTGAGCTCCCGAACCTTGTTGCACCTCGCCAGCGGGATTTCTCCATCCTCTTCCATTCGTCCCCAACGGACGCGTTCCCCAGCCCCCTCCTCGCCCAGCTTTGCAGGGAGCGGGGATGAGCGCAGACTGAGGCGTGGATACTGTGCAGGAGAAATGTTTCATGTTGGGGCGCCTCGGTGGCGAGATGTTGTCCCCTTCGCCTGGTATGCAGGAGGTCGTGGGTTCGATCCCGATCCTGACGCCTGCTGTATATTTGGAGTTTGCGGTGTCTCTCTCCCTGTGGTCGCGTGGATTTTTCTCCGGGTCCTTCGGTTTTTCCCTCCACATTTATCATCGACATGCGTTCAGAGTATTTGCCTGCTAATATAAATCCCCGCACACGATAAGCCACTGTGTTGAGCTATCATTTGTGGCCCGGTCTCTTCTGAAAAAGGAGCTACGTAGCTCAGTGGGCCCTTACCTGGTGCTGTAAATAAAAAAAAGTTTAGTGAATGTGCATGCGGAATATCGGCACCATGGCGCGGCGGCAAAACACGCTGGTGTGCACAACGTGAACTTGAGGCGGGGGATCTCAGGGGCTTGGATGGGGGCCCACCCAAGCCCCCACGAACTTACCCCCCAGCCGCAGGATGGGGTTCTGCCGTACCAATAACTTTCAAAGCCCCTGCCCTACACTTACAGCAAATAGCCTTGCCCAGAACCCGACCTTAACTCGAGGTCACCAGGGACCACACACCACGCATGTAGTGCATCGGCCAGTCATCTCAGTCAGTCAACCCATGGCACCTGAGTCTGTCCCGTGACCTCCTGTCAGCGGGCGTTCGACGCTTCACGTGGCCTTAAAGTGCACATAGCCTGACACAAGCGCCGTGGTGACGTAACTGCCACTTAGTCCCGAATGGCGGTTGTTGTTCTTGTTGATTGCGGTGCAATGCACGAATGCTCACGCCTGCCGCCTTTGCCTGTCTTATTCCTGTTCAGATTCAAAAACAAAGTTTGTACTCGTTTTGTTCGGCGTTAGCGATGCATGTCCCTTGGCACGTGCGCACGCTCGATCGCTCCCGTTCTTGCCTCCCCACCCAGCTCCCCCCCCCCATCTCCACGCCATTCTGCACTCTTACACGTTTGAATTTTCCACACTCTTGTACGTACGCACGTAGAACTTATTTCGCACCGTACGCAGCCGGGCATGCTAATAGGAAATGTGAAGAAGGACAACAAACTAAACACCAAAAACAGGTCTAAACAAATGAGTTTTCAATCTCGATTTTAAAAGTGCATCGCTCCGGTGGCTTCCTAATATCGGAAGGAAGAGAGCGTTCCAGACGGCCGCAGAAGCGCATCTGAAAGCGCGCAACGCGGTGACCGCCTTTGTTCGATGGGCAGCCAAAAGCCGCTGCGAGGATGACCGGAGTTTGCGTGATGATGAATGCCCCTTGACGAGATCTCAGCAAGTTATTGTAGTTCATCTGTGCCAAGAACTTTGCGTGTATCGAGTGCGACCTGATATGCTCGCTCCATTACGGGCGCCTTTCAAACGCACACCGTCATCGTCGTCCGTTGTCGCCGTGCCCCGCCTGCGCTCGCAGCTGGACGTAATGCAGGGCATCCTGGGCGAGATGAACACGCGGGCGGGGGAGTCGGAGTGCCGCCACTACATGGGGCTGCTCGAGTACGTGGACCCGCGGCACAGAGACCCCCTCATCGCCGCCGCTCGCTCGCTCTGCTGCCACTGGAGAGCTGCGCAACCACCGCGGGCAGGTGAGCTTGCAGAGCCTCGCCGGCAGCGTCGTCATCGTCGTCGTCATCATGACAGGCAACTTCACAATCGTCGTCGTCACAATCATTACGCCTGTAACAATTAATCATGATCATTGTAATAGCCATCGTCATCATAATCATCGTCGTCGTCACAATCATTAAGCCTGTAACAATTAATCATGATCATTGTAATAGCCATCGTCATCATAGTCATCATCGTCGTCGTCACAATCATTACGCCAGTAACAATTGATCATGATCATTGTAATAGCCATCGTCATCATAGTCATCATCGTCGTCGTCACAATCATTACGCCTATAACAATTAATCATGATCATTGTAATAGCCATCGTCATCATAGTCACAATGGTCGTCGTCACAATCATTACGCCTGTAACAATGTATCATGATCATTGTAATAGCCATCGTCATCATAGTCATCATCGTTATCGTCACAATCATTACGCCTGTAACAATGTATCATGATCATTGTAATAGCCATCGTCATCATAGTCATCATCGTCGTCGTCACAATCATTACGCCTGTAACAATTAATCATGATCATTGTAATAGCCATCGTCATCATAGTCATCATCGTCATCGTCACAATCATTACGCCTGTAACAATGTATCATAATCATTGTAATAGCCATCGTCATCATAGTCATCATCGTTATCGTCACAATCATTACGCCTGTAACAATTAATCATGATCATTGTAATAGCCATCGTCATCATAGTCATCATCGTCGTCGTCACAATCATTACGCCTGTAACAATGTATCATGATCATTGTAATAGCCATCGTCATCATAGTCATCATCGTCGTCGTCACAATGATTACAACTGTAACAATTCATCATCATCATCATCGTAATAGACATCGTCGCAAGTCATCATCGTCACCGTCACAATCATTTCGCCCGCAACAATCCATCATCGACGTGATTGTCCACGGACAAATGTCTCCTCAAGCCACCTTTCACGATCCGACAGTGTAATAATCCACCGAGCACTTGCCTACACACATCATGAATCCCATCATTAGAATGATCGTCAGGGCATACATTCTCACCTGATATTTTATGGAACACTGCTAGCCTGGCTTGAAGTGGGGATTACCGGCGTAAGGCACTACCACTACACTACACACGAGCTGACTTCACCGCTCCATTTCCTCAGTGCACAACCTCTCCGGACGAGTTTCGTCCTTTGGCTTCCGCTCCGTTGTTACTCTTGACCATCGGCCTTCTCCTAGCCACGGCGTGTCCTGCGTGTGTAAGCATCGATTTTGAATTGATTTTCATCGATGATGTGAAGTATCATTACGTGCCTCATCATCATGAATCCCATCGTGAGCATGATCGTCCAGGGCATACATTCTCACCTGATATTTTATGGAACACTGCTAGCCTGGCTTGAAGTGGGGATTACCGGCGTAAGGCACTACCACTAGAGTACGAGTTACGCCTTTCTATAAACAATACCATATTATTGTTCCTTATACAACCATGCCCTATAGTCATGTAATAATAATATACCATAATACCGTATCACAAGTGTGAAATAATACGAGCTGGAGGTTACGTGCCATAACAATTGCCGGATCACCATTCCGGACTGTTCCGGCTGAAACTCTTCACTCTGACTTCCACGTACTCCCTCCCCACCCTCATCCCTTATTCCTCCCTCCCCTACCCGGCGCTGCGAGCAGAAGCTGCACGTGTTCCTGCTGGACGGGGTGCTGGTCATCACGAGGCCCGGTTACCGCAACGGAGCGCCCAGCTTCCAGGTCTACCGCCAGCCGGTCCCCACGGCGGAGCTCTGCGTGCAGGACCTGCCGGATGGGACCTCCTTCATCAGGGGCCCCTTTGGGCCGGCGGAGCGAGGCAAGCCCTAATCACCCCCCCCCCCCCCCCCCCCCACCACCTGATCGGGGTTTAATCGCAAGTCCTCTGGCACCTATTTGAGCCGATGCCTCAGCGGTCGGGCGGGTGGCTGGCAATCGGGAGGTTGCGAGTTCTAATCCTGCTTGGGGGGGTTGACTTGGCCTCATCATCTCGCTGGGGGGTCATTAAAGTGAGTACCACTTTGTGGGGACGTCAACAGTGGTTGTCCTACGGAGATACTCGCTCCCGTCATGGGAATGTCAAATTTGTATCACTGATTCAGGGCTGTAAAGAAAAGATAACAACCGCATTTTTGCTGTTTGTTGTAAAGGTCTGGGGTTCGGGCCCAGTGGCCACCCTAGTTAAACCTGCAGGTGTGTTCCTACTGTAAAAAATGTGCCGTCTGCTTCACAATGGACATTAAGAACCCGTGATGTTATTCTAAGAAGGCTAGGCCATGTGTACCAGCGTCATAATCCAAATTTGTAAAAAAAAATAATTACCCAAGTGGGAAAACATATATTCGCCCCTACTCTGAAAAGTATCAGGACACCTCTGGAAAGAAGCCTTGGTGAGCCTTTCCCAGGCAAACAAATGTTGCGAAAACAACAACAATAATAACAATAACAGTACTCGCGATTGTGACGCGGTAAGCCTCGCTAACAATCGCACCGGCGCTCTCAACCGTGAACGCACGCACGCACACGCAGGCAAGCACGCGTTCCGCGTCGGCTTCTCCTCCGCGGCACGGGGCCGCATGCACAACCTGCTTGCCGACAGCGCCTTCAACAAGCAGCAGTGGCTCGGCTGCCTGCGCGCGGCGGCGAGCCGTGCCGCGCCAGCCTCCGTCGCCCTTCCCGCTCCACCGACGATGGCGACGCCGCCGACGCCGCCGACGATGGCGACGATGGCTAGACTGCAGAGCTTCGAGGATGACAGCGACATGGAGCTGAGTTCGCAGGTCGGACGGGACGGCTACGCCAGCTGCTCCGACAGCGAGTCGGACGCAGGCTCCACCATGGACACGAGCGAGTGGGAGAAGGAGGGCGGGTCCCGATGGACGGAGGTGGACAGCGTGCCCGCGTTCTGGAATGCGACGCGATGCGAGGATTTTGATGAGCAGCCATCCACGGCCCCACACGGGGAGTAAAATGAATGTAGTTTTGTGTGTGTGTGTTTTTATTGTATATTTCAGTCCAAGGGCGGTTATCCGTTTTGTTGGGCTGCATATTGGGCAGAGGTCGCAAACGGGTTTTTATTCCTTACCCGTACCCATACCCGGCCGCACCAGGGTCGCAAACGGGTACCCGTACACGTACCCGGCCGTACCCGTAACCTAGGGTACGGGTATCGGGTACCTGATTGCGACCTCTGGGATGAAGCCATGTTGCAGGTGCGGGTGGGTTGATTCTAGGAACTTCAATTGTGAGAAGAGACAAGACGTTGGGAAATGAGTGACAAACAGTTACTCACCAGTGACTCACCGTCTACCTGTACCCAGCTGCACCAGGGTCGCAAACGGGTACCCGTACACGTACCCGGCCGGGTACGGGTAGCCGGGTATCGGGTAGGGTACGGGTATCGGGTACCCTGTTGCGACCTCTGATATTGGGTATTTCTTCTCTCACACGTTTGCCGCGCACTACAACGGAGAATCGTCTGGAGTTCAATTGGAAATGTGGATAATGATGTGAATCACGATGACGTCTAAAACTCCTGAAGATGCCCGCAGTAGTGCGTGGCGGAAGCCTCAGAGGAAAAATGTTCAACACGTCGCCCAAAACAAAAGTTGGATTACCAGCGGCTGCGAAAGCATGTGTGTTAAATTGTAATTTTCGGTGTTATATTTTTTACTTTCTCTAAGTTCAAGCCAATATATTCCCATACAATTGCTTACTTATGATCGTATCTTCATGGGGTCATTGTCAATGTTATCGTATCTTCATACTTGACCCAATTACCATACTTTGTTGACTCAAATAAATGTTTATGGCAAGGCAGACGTTGTCTTGGCACGTACAGACGAAGCAAGCTTGTAGAAAGGGGCAATTGTAATATTTCTAGTTGCAGCCTAAACGAACACGTTTCCTTTTCATATTGAGTCACTGCCATTGACACCACTTGGAGCATAGGTTTACATGTGCACACAACCACACTGCAGCTCTTATTTGCTTATAACACAGTCCAGAAATTGCCAGCTAGTGCCCGGATAAATTGCGTGCTCGCTGAATGTGAGGAATTCGGGGCAGTTCACATTTTCAGTTGTGAGGGTTCTGTGAACAGCAGTGACAGAGGTAATGAGCCAAGACGTTTAAAATGTTTCCAAATACCACTGTGCATGGCATCTGCTTGAGCAATACTCCTTTTATTATTTATATTTCGTATATGTTGGTAGTATCATTCATTCATTTTGTTCTGTTACAAATCAGTTGCCATCCTCGCTTGGAAAGGAAATGTTAACGGAACTTTGTCAATATGTGCGGCTCTCAGAAGATGTTTTTTCTTAAAACGTGTATAATTTTTTTTAGGATCAGTTCACAAATTGCTTGCGGTTATTAATGTTCGTCGTTTTTAGCCGTGTCACCAATGTATGTACAGTGTTATGTTGGAGTTAGCTTTTGGCACGTGTTAGGATATTCACGGAGCGCGTTGTGGTTATTGGTCGTTATCGTCTCTGCAATCCCAGTTATTCCCGTGTATGATTCCTGGCAGTGTACATTTTGTGGTAGCTGGGATAAGGATTCCACAAGGTCGACCGTGTATAATAGGGGTAAATAGTAGGGATGAATTTCACATTTTAAAATGTCAGATTTTAAAGGTTCATTCAGATGTAGTTCGAATCAATCTAACGTGTCTTTGTGCTCACAAAAGTCACATCACCCGATCATGCTTCCCTGGCAGCACTTTTTGGAAGGAAAATAACAGATGTGATGTCACTTCCTGTAACATCACGCAGTTCGTATAAATGGGAGAAAAAATATATTATCATATTGTGTAAAATGGCGTATTTCCAGGCGCAATTTTTTGATTATTTCTGGAATAATCTGAAAATAGGGAACACGTTCCTGGCACATAGTACTACTATCTTGTGACGCAAGTGCTGAAAGCCAAAACATCTGGGTGTGGGGGTAATGCCTCCAACTCAGATTGAACATGTCATACTGGCCACGTGTCGAGCTAGATAACAGCGTTTGTGCCAACGGTTTAATCGGGGTGAAAATAAGCTATTGTGTTGTAATATACTGTATTAAAGCTTTTCCTCACTTTTATAATAATTCAAATTTCATCTATGGTTGCACAGCTCCAAATCGTTGAGCAGAAAATAAAGTCTTCTTTTGTAATCAAATTGAATTGCTTCTCTTATTTTTAAATCCTTTATATTAAGTTCGCTTGCGTGCTTGCTTGCTTGCTTAGGACCGTGCAATTCTTTCGGTCGTTTTTTAACCAACTTCCCGTGATCCAATCGAGCTGACATTTTCCACACAGACTCGTTGTGCCAGACAATTATTGTTCGTGAAAAAAAAATTCCCAAAATGTTACACTTTTTCGGCAAATAAAATATTTTACATATATTCAAATAGAACGCATTCATGGCTTTGGCTGAACGTCAGAGTGTAAGAGCCCAGAGCGTAACCCCTCCACAGGCCGTGGCGGAGTAGCGCCCTCGCTTCCCATCTTTCGGTAAAGTCACGTATAAAGATAAAATAATAAATTAAATTATAGCATACGACGTTTCCATTGCAACACAAGCAATCATCATCAGGTATAAATGAAATAGCAACAAAAATTTAACCAGAAAACTATAGACAGACATATAAGCAGATATCACCAAGATACATAGAGAGAGAGCAACACATAGGCACACAGAGACAGAGTGTCTCTGTGACGAGGACTTAATTAGACAGAGGGAGGCGGGGGCAGAGAGAGGGAGGGGTTAGAGAAAATTAGCATGTCAATGGGTAGGACGACGGGTGGTAAAGTAAGCAAGCTTGAAAATTAGGAGAACGGGAAAGAGACACATTAAATTAAAAAACCTAGCAAAATATCGAAATGTAATGTAATGCAACACAGAGAGTCGGTCAACACACAATTAACGCATAGCCTGGTCGATTACGTATTTCAAAGATTGCTAAGTTATAATTTAAGTGTGAAAATTCCAAAGAGAGAAAAAACACAAAACACGAGGAACGGAGACACACAGACAGAGCAGAACATAAGAACGACAAAAAACGAGTAGAGACAGAAAAAGTACACTAAATACACAGGCAGAGAGAGAAAACAAAAAACGCAGAGAGGGAAAAAGATAAACTTAAAACTTCCCCGTAGAAGAGGTTCAATCTTAATTTTGGAGCTTTCGTGACTGCAGGAATTACTCTTTGGTTCTTTCGGTAAAGTCACGTATAAAGAAAAAATAATAAATTAAATAATAGCATACGACGTAGGTAAAAAATAATATAAATAAAAGAATAATAAATGAAAAGAAATCAGTGATTTAATTGTCTTATTTTAATAATAGAAATAAAATAATAATAAATGAAAATAAATCCGTTATTTAATTGATGTATTTTCATTTATTATTATTTAGAAATAAAATAATCAATGGAAATAAATCAGTGATTTAATTTAGGGAAAATGTCAAAACTGGGTGGTTTTTAACTTTTGCCGACAAAACTGGGTGCACCCTGGGTGGCCAAAAACTTGAGTTTTGGACACTCAGGGTGCACCCAGTTTTGACATTTGTCAAATACACTTGATAATTGTATACTAGCACAGTGTGCCAGCACCCCATTCATCCAAACACTTGGTATTTGTATACTGGCACACTGTGCCAGTATACATATGGCAAGTAAGTGTTACTGTAGTAGCGAGCTGGCACACTGTGCCAGTATACAAACGGCAAGTTAGGGTATGTTCGCGAGCTGTGTTACTGTAGTTGCAAGCTGGCACACTGTGCCAGTATACATATGGCAAGTAAGTGTTACTGTAGTAGCGAGCTGGCACACTGTGCCAGTATGCAAACGGGAAGTTGTGGTGCAAGGTATGGAACATGAGCCACGAGAAACATAATTTGGAACGCTCTAAATCTGTGGCGACATATGGATGAATAACGCAAGGACCTAAACGTGTACAAAATGATACATTAAATCGTACACCTTCTTCACCCAGTTTTGACATTTGTCCACATTGAACATCACCCAGTTTTGTCATATCAAAAAGCACCACCCTGTTTTGCCTGTCGTTTTCCAAGACCACACAGTTTTGACATTTGGGATCCAGTTTTGTCGGCAAAAGTTAAAAACCACCCAGTTTTGACATTTTCCCTTTAATTTATTTATTTTCATTGATTATATTTTATTATTATTTATCTACGTGACTTTACCGACACAACCTAAGAGTATGAATCCTTGCAGTCACGAAAGCTTCAAATCTAGAATGCATCATCATCGTCGTCGTGGTGTTTGTTGTGATTATTATTGCCATTCATCATCATCGTCTTGTGCTATCTATCAGCTCCACACAGCACTGTGTGTTTATGTGGTGACTAGCAGCTTTACACACCGCTGTGTGTGTTTATAGGAGGGTAGCAGCGTCTTGTGTTTTCTAGCAGCTCCACACAGCACTGTGTTTATAGGAGGGTAGCTGCGTCTTGTGCTATCTCGCAGCTCCACACCACTGTGTGTGTTTATAGGAGTTTGGCTGTGTTTTGTGTTATCTAGCAGCTTTACACACACTACTGTGTGTGTGTCTTGTGCTATCTAGCAGCTCCTCACTGTGTGTGTTTATAGGAGGGAGGCTGCGTCTTGTGCTATCTAGCAGCTCCATACAGCACTGTGTGTGTGTTTGTGTTAATTAGCAGCTTTACACAGCAGTGTGTGTGTGTTTGTGTTAACTAGCAGCTCCATACAACACTGTGTGTGTGTTTGTGCTATCTAGCAGCTTTACACAGTACTGTGTGTGTGTGTTTGTGCTATCTAGCAGCTCCTCACTGTGTGTGTGTTTATAGGAGAGTGGCTACATCTTGTTCTATCTAGCAGCTCCACACACACCACTGTGTTTGTGTGCTATCTAGTAGCTCTTCACTGTGTCTGTGTATAGGATTGTGGCTGCATCTTGTGCTATCTAGCAGCTCCACACAGCACCGTGTGGCTGTGTTTGTGTGCTATCTAGCAGCTCCACACTGTGTGTGTTTGTGTTATCTAGCAGCTCCTCACTGTATGTGTGTGTGCTATCTAGCAGCTCTTCACTGTGTGTGTGTCTTGTGTTATCTAACAGCTCCACACAGCAGTGTGTGTGTATAGGATTGTGGCTACGTCTTGTGCTATCTAGCAGCTCCACACAGCAGTGTGTTTGTGTTAACGAGCAGCTCCACACAGCACTGTGTGTGTGTGTGTGCTATCTAGCAGCTCCTCACTGTGTGTGTTTGTGTTATCTAACAGCTCCACACACCACTGTGTGTGTGTGTGTTTGTGTGCCATCTAGCAGCTCCTCACTGTGTGTGTGTGTGTGTGCTATCTAGCAGCTCCACACAGCACTGTGTGTGTGTTTGTGCCATCTAGCAGCGCCTCACTGTGTGTTTATAGGAGGGTGGCTGTGTCTTGTGCCATCTAGCAGCTCCTCACTGTGTGTGTGTGTGTGTGCTATCTAGCAGCTCCACACAGCACTGCGTGTGTGTTTGTGCCATCTAGCAGCTCCTCACTGTGTGTTTGTGTGTTAACTAGCAGCTCCTCACTGTGTGTGTGAGTGTTAACTAGCAGCTTCACACACCACTGTGTGTGTGGCTTGTGCCATCTAGCAGCTCCTCACTGTTTGTGTGCTATCTAGCAGCTCCACACAGCACAGTGTGTGTTTGTTTATAGGATTGTGGCTGCGTCTTGTGCCATCTAGCAGCTCGGTGCGTGCGTGAGCGGCAGGGGAGCGGTGGCGCAGCAGTTGACAGCTGCCTCCGTGCCGAGTTCGATTCCCGATCGCGATCGACGACGACGAATCATTCAACAGGTCCTGAGCATAGCCCCCCTTATCTCCCCTAGATCGACTACCTTGCTGGCGTGTAAACACCAGCATTGGGGATACAAAGGCGGTCGGGCGTGGGTTGCTGTTGCCACTCTAAACCAGCCCCCTTACCCCTCGTGTGCCGCCGTGCCGGACTTAATAGGTGCTCGCTAACAGCACTTTGCCCCAGCAGTGTGCTGAGGCTACACGGGGGACCTTTGTGTTGTTGTGTTAAGGCGAGTTGAGGCGTCTTTAGACTACGGGGGGTCGTCTAGTCAAGGTAATGCGTCGATTGTAGAAGCATTAACTACAGCTAGATACTACAACTACTACTACAACTACTACCACCACCACCACTACTACCACTACTACCGCCACCACGCGGGCATTGATCTGTAACTTGCGATATACAAATAGCGGTACAGTGCACTGTAGTTGCACTGTAGTTACAGTGCACTAGTTACACAAGTTACAGTGTAGTTACAGTGCACTGTAGTTACACTGTAGGAGCGGTGGCGCAGTGCTTGGCTCGCGGTGTTGTGGGCCTGCTCCTAGTGGTGGTTAACATCGGTGGTGAGTGGTGTTAGTGGTGGTTAACATCGGTGGTGAGTGGTGTTAGTGGTGGTTAACATCGGTGGTGAGTGGTGCTAGTGGTGGTTAACATCGGTGGTGAGTGGTGTTAGTGGTGGTTAACATCAGTGGTGAGTGGTGTTAGTGGTGGTTAACATCAGTGGTGAGTGGTGTTAGTGGTGGTTAACATCGGTGGTGAGTGGTGTTAGTGGTGGTTAACATCGGTGGTGAGTGGTGCTAGTGGTGGTTAACATCAGTGGTGAGTGGTGTTAGTGGTGGTTAACATCGGTGGTGAGTGGTGTTAGTGGTGGTTAACATCAGTGGTGAGTTGTGTTAGTGGTGGTTAACATCGGTGGTGAGTGGTGTTAGTGGTGGTTAACATCAGTGGTGAGTGGTGTTAGTGGTGGTTAACATCGGTGGTGAGTGGTGTTAGTGGTGGTTAACATCGGTGGTGAGTGGTGTTAGTCGTAGTTAACATCAGTGGTGAGTGGCGTTAGTCGTGGTTAACATCGGTGGTGAGTGGTGTTAGTCGTGGTTAACATCAGTGGTGAGTGGTGTTAGTGGTGGTTAATATCGGTGGTGAGTGGTGTTAGTGGTGGTTAACATCGGTGGTGAGTGGTGTTAGTGGTGGTTAATATCGGTGGTGAGTGGTGTTAGTGGGGGTTAACATCAGTGGTGAGTGGTGTTAGTGGTGGTTAACATCAGTGGTGAGTGGTGTTAGTGGTGGTTAATATCGGTGGTGAGTGGTGTTAGTGGTGGTTAACATCGGTGGTGAGTGGTGTTAGTGGTGGTTAACATCGGTGGTGAGTGGTGTTAGTGGGGGTTAACATCAGTGGTGAGTGGTGTTAGTGGTGGTTAACATCAGTGGTGAGTGGTGTTAGTGGTGGTTAACATCGGTGGTGAGTGGTGTTAGTGGTGGTTAACATCGGTGGTGAGTGGTGTTAGTGGGGGTTAACATCAGTGGTGAGTGGTGTTAGTGGTGGTTAACATCGGTGGTGAGTGGTGTTAGTGGTGGTTAATATCGGTGGTGAGTGGTGTTAGTGGGGGTTAACATCAGTGGTGAGTGGTGTTAGTGGTGGTTAACATCAGTGGTGAGTGGTGTTAGTCGTAGTTAACCTCAGTGGTGAGTGGCGTTAGTCGTGGTTAACATAAGTGGTGAGTGGTGTTAGTGGTGGTTAACATCGGTGGTGAGTGGTGTTAGTGGTGGTTAACATCGGTGGTGAGTGGTGCTAGTGGTGGTTAACATCAGTGGTGAGTGGTGTTAGTGGTGGTTAACATCGGTGGTGAGTGGTGTTAGTGGTGGTTAACATCAGTGGTGAGTGGTGTTAGTCGTAGTTAACCTCAGTGGTGAGTGGCGTTAGTCGTGGTTAACATAAGTGGTGAGTGGTGTTAGTGGTGGTTAACATCGGTGGGGAGTGGTGTTAGTCGTGGTTAATATCGGTGGTGAGTGGTGTTAGTGGTGGTTAACATCGGTGGTGAGTGGCGTTAGTCGTGGTTAATATCGGTGGTGAGTGGCGTTAGTCGTGGTTAACATAAGTGGTGAGTGGTGTTAGTGGTGGTTAACATCGGTGGTGAGTGGTGTTAGTCGTGGTTAATATCGGTGGTGAGTGGTGTTAGTGGTGGTTAACATCGGTGGTGAGTGGTGTTAGTCGTGGTTAACATCGGTGGTGAGTGATGTTAGGCGTGGTTAACATCGGTGGTGAGTGGTGTTAGTCGTGGTTAACGTCAGTGGTGAGTGGTGTTAGTGGTGGTTAACATCGGTGGTGAGTGGTGTTAGTCGTGGTTAACGTCAGTGGTGAGTGGTGTTGGTGGTGGTTAACATCGGTGTTGAGTGGTATTAGTGGTGTTTAACATCGGTGGTGAGTGGTGTTGTCCGTGGTTAACATCGGTGGTGATGTTAGCCGTGGTGTGGTAACCCCTGTAAACTGACGCGGATTGTGGAAGCCCTCACGCTGCAGTGAATTCACACCGTGGCTATGAATTCAATGTTATTTGTGCACGTATTGTTCTGGGATTGCATAACATCGTCTGGTATGCTGTAATAATGCTCAATAATCTCCTGCTGGATGATGATGATGATGCCACAATCAATCTGCGCTTGAGCTGATCCTGTCGTCCCGTCTCCTCCATCACCAGTATAGGGCATCATTCCTTGCTTGGACAAGGAGTTTTCACTGATTATTCCATCACGAGGTGAAGTGGATAACAGGACAAGCTTAGGTCTACTTTAACAATAAACCATTTTGGACATTTAAGTGTCTAAAATAAGAATCGTATATTTAGCTCGTGTTGTGAGGCTACTTTGTTTTTCATACTGTTAGAGAGTAGTGAATTGTCTTTCAAAGAGTAGTAGTTGTAGTTACGTAATGTATTCTTTGCACGTGGTTTATTTTTTCCCCGGGAGATAGAAACAAAAACAAATTTTTCGATTTAAAGCTTTCGTGACTGCAGGGATTCATCTTCTTGGTTCTTTCAGACGCTGTCTTTCCGACAGACCTGTTCTTCACCTGAGAACGGCTGCTTGCGTTGTGGCCGAAACGTCGTGAGAATTGTATATTATTTTTATTATTTCCCTTCTACGTGACTTTATTGAAAGAACCAAGAAGATAAAAACTAATTTGTCTTGCTATGTGTATACGTGAAGGGGGAGAAAGAAGCCGCAATGAAGTTACGCGTGCGACACGGAGGAAACACTCAACTCCTGGAAATAGCCAACGAGGGCGCCACGCTGGGACAACTGCAGCGACAAATACGTGACACCCTCCTGCCCAGCTTTCACATCGGGTAAAGACGATTTGCCACGGGATCCTTACGTCAAAGCCCACTGGTTGTGGCGATGTTTTCTGATGTGTACGTAAGAGATTATAAATGTAATCAACTTGGAATGGAAGCACACCTACCTATTCAGTAACCAAGAAAATATTTGCGTTGCTTGGTTGACTTTTCATACTCTGTTTTTTTTGTAAAGTCACGTAGGTAAAAAATCAAATAAATGAAAACAACTAAATTAAATCACGACGTTGCGCCCGAAATGTCGTGATTTAATTTAGTTTTCATTTATTTTATTTTTTACCTACGTGACTTTACCGAAAAAACCAAATGGTATGAATCCTTGCAGTCATGAAAGTTTCAAATCTAGAATTGGTTTACTTGTTTTGTCCTTTGTTCTCATAAATTGCAGTTGTGTTATGATGCCAGTATCGTTGGTTGCTGGCTGCTTTCAGAGAGGATCTGAGGTTCAAACAATCGTAACGCTCTTCCGACACATGTGCTTCCCAGACAAGATGCGGCATTTGGGATATCGCTGAATAGAAAAGACATGCTCAGTGATTGGGAGACACCTCTTCAAGAGTACGGCATCGTCTCTGGAGACCTTGTTTGGATTCTTCAAGCGGAAGGTGGTTCCACATCGACATCCCCGCTTTGGCCATTATTTGAGGAGTTTTTGGAGAGACGCATTTCATTATATTCCTGCGTGTACTGTCTGCTGTGACATGAATTGGAACATTCTCATTGACGATAAAATTTTATCACAAGCGAAAAGTTTGGAATTGCATTTGGAGACAGGGACACGTTGATTACGTGTGCATGTTAATGACATTAAAACTTAAGAAAGTGGGTTTGGGCAGGTTACCTTGCAAGATGTTAACTCCCTCGCCTGCTGTACAGGATGGCGTAGGTTTGATCCCGACCCTGACGGCTGTATATTTGGAGTTTGCATATTCACTCCGTAGTCGCGTGGATTTTTCTCCCGGGTCCTCCAGTTTTTCCCTCCACGCTTAGAATCAACACGCGTTTAGAGTATTTGGCTGCTATAAATGTCCACATGATAAGCCACTTCGTTGAGCTACGATTTGTGGGCAGGTAGCTTCTGAAAAAGAGCTTCATGTAGCTCTGTCGGCCTTACCTGGTACAACAAAAATAGTTTAGTTTAGATAGGGCGATGGCTGATGGTTGAGAATGATAATGGCTTTGCAGCCAAGGAATGGAACGTGTCCTAGAGAAAAGTACACTGAGGAGATGGAGCAATGAAATCTGCTCGTGTGGAAATCCTAGGTGGGTTATTGCAGCATCGGGTTGTGTAAGATGGTGACAACTTGGGGGAAGCCTTCAACAGTGGGTTGGTCATGGCTAATGTTTACGGAGGATCATCGTATATCATGAAAACTCTATTTTTCTCAAAGAAACACCATCTGTTGTGGATATTAAGATCCCAAAACTAAAGTTTAATCGATATACTTTGTGTCATGGCCACATTTGTGTTTTGCTGTTTCCGGCAGTTAATTAACCCACTGAAAAGCACATATGTTAAATGTGAGGTATTCTATTCCCAGTGAAATTTACCCTATTTAAAAAAAGACTGAAGTTACATTTTGTAGCATCCCACGTATTAATCGATGGTGTAGTCTTGATAGTGCAGCTTGAACCTTCCTGATGCCCTATCAGTGATGGCGACACTACATGGAAAGTACAGCCCCAAATTAAACAACGGTGATAGTGTTGTAGAACACCACTGCATGCACAGCACTGTTTGTCATTTGTCCAGGCTCGGCTGCAACGTGCAGCGCTGGTGCAACTTCCTCAAGAGCCCGCGATGATCATGCTCATGCCCAGACGAGCAGACTCCATGGAAATGCACCCACCGCCTCCCCTGCGTCAGTGGCAACGCCTTCGGGGAGTCAAGCGCATCAAAGCAAAGGCACCGTGATCACTCAAAAAATCTTGCCGTCATCGCACCAGGAAACGTCCGCAAGCGGTGCCAATGAAAATGACGATGCTGGTTCCTCAACGCGAGTGTCTCCGGCTACCGGTCCCCCTCCGCCGCCTCTCATCATGCTCTGCAGCGAGTCGGAGGGCGGCCGCGTCCCTGAAGTGCTCGAGAGGGAGTACGAGCAGGCGGGCGTAACGAGCCCGTGCGATGCACTCACGGTGGCTCTGCATGTGCTGATGATTGAAGCCGGATTTGCAGCTGCCGCACAGGTTCATTTTACCTCTGATTAGCCATTTAACCTCGCGTTTGTATGTCAATTAAAACCTTGGATTGCGAGCATAATTCGTTCCGGAAACGTGTTTGTAATCCAAAGCACTCGTATATCAGTTGTGATCACGTGACGCTCGGCAGACAAAGCGTATGCACGTACTACTCGTATTGCAAGACCTCGCTCGTTTATCAAAGTAATATTTATTCTACATTTTTGCTCGTCTTGCACAACACTCGCAGACCAAGTTACTCGCAATCCAAGGTTTTACTTTACTGTCGAACTTTTTTTCTCACCGTACGTAGCCAGCAGTGCTAATCGGTGGTGCGGTGGGAATGACATGTCAATTATATTTTCATTTATTTTGATTTTTTTTTTATCCATCTGGCCTGGTGGCTCTGAGGTAGAGCCAGCAGCTTTCAGTGCAAGTTCAAGCCTTGGTTGGGGATTCACTTGGCCCATCATCCCTGTTTAGGGTCGATAGAATGAGTACCACTTTGTGGGGAAGACAACAGTGGTTGTCCTGGATAGAATTGCACCATCACAGGAATGGGTCATTCCCACCAATAGCATCGGGGCTGTAAACAGGAGATCAGCGCCAACTCAATGCTCATTATGCATGAAATCACTTCAAATTTTTTCGTGGATTTAAAACTTATAGAATACTGATTTTAAACAACCTATCATTTCATTTTTTTCATATAAGTTTTTTTTAAAGTTTATGGTATTTCCTGTATTGTGTGTGTTTTAGCATTTTTACTCAAACTTACTCTTGATATGAGATTGGACATCATTGTTAGGTTGATTATTTTAAACGATTCAAAAGCTTGATTTCGTGCTCCAATCACCCGTTGAATGCATTGCTGATTTTATTCACGTTATGACAAAGCGTTCAATAATAATGAGTTTAATTTTGGTTCCGTACGTGATATTCTTATTCTCTTTGTCACAACAAGGATCAGGCAGAGTGCCATCAGGCACAAGCAAGTCTCCCGAGTTGCCTGCCTCGAGGCTGGAGAAGGCCCGGGGTATACACATTAAGGTACAGCCACCCTCTCTGCCATGGTGCCACCTGTAACCTCACCTGCATCCCCATGGGCCAAGCTCTGGTAGTTAATGGTGAGTATCATTTCACATAAAAAATAATGGAATCAATTGTATGCACATTCTGCAGCTTATGCTAAAAAAAGTTTTAAACGTTTAAAAATAAATGTACGCACGCTTTTTTCTTTTCGCAATGACACTGGCAATAATGTAACATGTTCAAGGGTGCATTCATCTTTAATGACATTTCTCGTTTAGCATGATGCTGCTGTGCCTTAGTAGAATGGTTAGCACACTGGACTGTCAATTCAGAGGTCACTGGCTTAATCTCTCGGCCGTGGCAACCCAGTATTATAAATGGGTGGTATACCAACGGTGATCAGCAGGCCTCATGTGGTGGGTAAAATGGATACTCCCATGTCTTCCAATACGCCTGGCCAGCGTGCAATAATAGGCCATATATCTTTGTAGGTAAAAAAGAGAAAAATTTAATCACGAAGTTTCGGAAGCAACACAAGCAACCGTCGTGATTTAATTTATTTTCTCTTTTTTACCTACGTGACTTTACCGAAACAACCAAAGAGTATGGACCCTTGCAGTCACGAAAACTTCAAATCTAGAATTAGGCCATATATCCTCAAGAGCAGCGATCCCTAGGGACCGGTTTCGTGGAAGACAATTTTTTCACAGACCGGGTGGGGGGGGGGTCATCATTGGGTCTTTCCCCGTTTTCAAAGAAGCTCTCCAGCGACGTTTGTTTTTTACTAATGTTGGCTAAGGGTTAGCAGCTTGTGGGCTTACCAAAACTGACACTGAGACAAGTGCGCAGTGCGGGAAAGAGACGCGGACGGAAGTGGTGAATAATAAAACAATGGGGGCGGGCCACTCGCGGACTCACCGCTCTCACCTCCTGCTGCTGTGCGGCCCGGTTCCTAACAGGCCACGGACCCCTGATCTAGAGGGGGTCTCTCTTGCGTTCTCCCTCTAGTGGATTCCCTTCTGCTAGCAGGGGCTTGATGAAGCAATTGCAGGGCTGACCCCTTTCCTTTTTTCACGACCGAATTGCAAAATTTACCCAACCTGTGAAGTGACTTTTTTATTTAATTTTATTCTTAACGACGACACTACCGCTCTGCTGCTCGTTTACCTAACTTCAGCGTTGTGCTATTTCTCGACTGTGTGGGTGCGTTGGTGATTTTTCTCGTGTTTTTCCTGCAGGCTGCGTGAACGCGTCGGGAACAACATTAAGCATAAGCGCACTCAAGTTGATGCCAACGTCGTATGTTCTCGGCAAAGGCGCAGGTAAATTCCGTGGAAGTGGAGCGCGTAAGATTGTTGCATATGCTCCTGTTCAGACTCGAGATTGGGTGGAGGTTCACAGGTTGAATGAGTGACGGGTGAAAGGGATACGGGAGTTGAGTCGCAAGCGGACGGTAGAGTCGGTTAAGAAGGTGGAGTCGACAGTTAAGATGATTTAAGACACAGTTCAGACCGAGTCCATTGCACGAGTTGAAGGAGAAAGGATGGAGGATGCAGAGTAAATAGTTATTTAGAAGTTATGTACAAGTTAAAGATAAAATATTGTTAGCAATACATGGTGATGGTTGTGTGATGTTTTACCTGTTTATTTGTTTTACAGACGTGTGTGTACATTATTTCTAGATGTTAGAATTAGCTTCTTTTTTATCCATGTTCCACATTACACTCCCATATCGCATGCCAAGTTTGAAAGGCTGTAACATACGGTGTCTTAATTCGCAGCCAATTCCCATTTACATATTCGTTAAAATCAGGGCTATAACATATCCACAAAGGGCATGCTTGCATTTTGAACAATTTTGAAATTCATTGGTTTTTCCGCTCGTAAATTTGAGTCTCAACGTTTTATTGGCATACTGTCCTGAACTTGCTTGAACATTTCAAGTAAATGGTTATAAATGTTTCTTTTCACTCGCTCGTTGAGAAGAATGCACCTTTCGTGGCATGTGCCTAGAGATGATGTGCAGTATGTGTGTCATACTGTGTGTAATATGTATGTGGGAAACGGTAGTGTAACGGTTAGTGCGCTGCCCTACAAACCTGACAACCTTAGTTTAATTCCCGCTCACAGCCAACACCAGTGACAATTATCTCAACTCGTACTGGGCCTCCCCTAGGTCGACTCAGCCTCAAATGAGTACCTGGTGCATTGTGTAATCATCGTCACTAAGGAGACAAAGGCGGCCGAGTGTGCCGTGCGGGCATTCGTGTAGGTACTCACCGCTAACAGCACTTGCCCCAACAGTTTATTAAATGCTATACGGGGGATCTTTGTTTGTGTGTGTATATATGTGTAATATGTGGCCTTGTTAAGGGTGTCTGTCCCAACCTTTCACAAATCCACGTGCACTGACTTCACGTGTGATTGCGTGCGCCTGTGTGTCCATGCGTTTGTCTCCGCAGCCCCAGCAAAGGAGGCCTCGCACGCCTACAAATCTCTTTCTCTGCTCTCCCGCACCTTTAAGGACCACGTAGCATACCCAGCCTTGGCACTCATGAGACAAGGTACAGTCTAATGGCCTATCATGTTTACAAAGGACATACGTCGGTATACGACCGCTTTGGAATACGTCGAAATTGGTATACGTCGTGTTTTGACGAGGAAAAATGTCTTGGGATACGACGTCTTGCTTGGGATACGACGCGCTTGCTAGAACTTGTATGGGTCGGGATGAGTCATCGTGTACCCGCGTAGACCCCGTTCACGAGTCCTCCCCTTCCTCACCACCATCCTCGTAGGCTATCAACTCCTCTCAGCAAGGTGAAGTGATGTTAAATAGTATTTTTATTTCAATTTGTTTTAATTTATGTATGCATTTTAGTAATAAGTAGTGTCTAAATTATTTTATACAACCCCATTAATGTATAATTTGCCATATAAAATATAATTTCTTATACTCTGGAACGGATTATTTCCTTTCCCTTTATTTCTTATGGGAAGAATTCGTTTGGTGTCCGTCATTTTCGGTATAAGTCCTACCTTCTGGAACTAATTGACGACGTATACTGAGGTACCACTGTATAAGGATGGGCGATGGAGGGGGAAAAAAATCCCATTCAAGACAAACGGCAGGAAGTAGACCTTAGCAAATGACATCTCAAATGTGTGGGTATTCTTGCTCTCCGGTTTCACTACAGATTAAATAATAAGAAATGTGTCAGATGTTGAAAGCAGCAGGACCATTGTGAATATACGCCCTGATTCTCGAGTTTTTTTTTTTGGTACAAGATGATGACTTGTAGTTCTGAAAGGAAGCGGAGATGATGATGATGAATTGCCCGTGGCTCTCATTTCCGTGGTCTATAGCGCTGGGGCTGCCATGTGCTGTGGGCCTCCTGGCGCTGCCCGTGGAGCTGCAGTTGCAGGTGCTGCGCCTGCTCCCCATCCCGGCAGTGCTCGCCGCTGCGCAGGCGTGCCGTGCCCTGTGCCTGCTTGGCGCGGACCCGTCGCTGTGGCGCGCGCTCTACATGCGAGACTTCCACCGTACGAACTCTCTCGCTTCTCTCTGCGTGCGGCGTGGACCTGCTGAACTTTGGGCAACTCGAATGAAAAGCCCCCGTGCCGCAGCTGCCTGCGAGGTCGCATCGAAGTCCCGCTTTTTTGATTCGCAAACGCGTGGAAATTATCCAGATTGCGGTGAATAGATGCTTTTACATCAAATCTTTGTGCATTTGGCGTGTGTACCGTTCTTATAGCGCAAGGCATATCGCGAAGACGTTATGTTTCACAGAGTCTGTAGTAGGGGGCGATGATTGCTGTGTGGAGCGGCAGTGCAGCGGTTAGCGCTCTGCGAACCCGTCGGCCCGAGTTAGATTCCTGCTCACGGCCAACACCAGTGACGATTATCTGAACCAATCCCGGACCTCCCCTAGGTCGACTCGGCCTCAAATAAGCACATCACCACTAGGGAGACAAAGGCAGCTGGGCGTGGTGCTGGACCCCCCCCCGTAGTCGTGTACTGTGCCAGGTGCTCATGAACAGCACTTTCTCCAACAGTCTGTTCAGACGATACGGGGGATCTTTGGCTTTTTTGTGATCGGAGTAAACTCGTGCACATGCTGAATTTATCTATCGGGAGTTTATCCACCTAACCCACCAATGTCGAGAAAAAAAGATTGCAGTTGTACTTGTAAATATCAGTAATCAAAGAATCACAACAATACTCTTTTAGAGGAGGACCAACGTTTTTACAGGGAGATTGCAAACACCACAGAAAATAATTATTTTCATAGTGGAGTCTTTTTTTGGTTTTTACACCCCCTTCAACACACGCAGCACATTTGTGTGTTTTGCGGTGGAAGGTTTTTGCCTTCCCTCAACCTCCTCAGTCCTAACACGAGTTGAATATTTAACAGGAGGCTAGCAACACATGAGATGTCGGACTTCGATTTACACTACTCATTCGTCATGTCTTTCCCCAGACCGTGCCAACTTGTACTCTTCCACGCTTGGTCTCTTAACCCCAGATAGGTCTCCTCTTGTCCACTCGGCACAGACCCTTCATGTTGTCCTGAAGGCTAAAATTAAATCGATTTTTTTTTTATCGTAACCATATTACTAATAGTTGCATTCATTCACTACAGCCATACATGTGAGTGTGATGTGGTAAGAGGGGGTGTCGTTCCGTCACACTCCAACTTTTATTTAGCTCCGCAAAACGACTCCATCGTTTGTCACCCAAGCATAAGTAAAGGTACTGAATTCAAACGTGTACATTGGAAACTTTGCCTCCTCCCTCTCATCCTAAGGTGGATTTTTTCCATTGTTTTCCTAGTACGTTGCCCTTGTAGATTCTTTGGGTCAACATCGTTTAGGCCTGCTATCTTTCTACTTTGGTGGTTATCTACAATTGAGATCCCTTGGAAAACAACTTCTAAATCTCATGAAATTGTCTGTCGAGCAACAAACGTGTAATTTTAGGAATCGAACATAGGGAACATTACATCACAACAGTGTACTATTTCGAATTGCATCACGGGATCCTTAACGGCAACTGAAGCCGCGGACATTGTGAAGCAGAGGGCACGGATTTATGATTCGTCAAACCACAGTATTAACCAGGGTGGCGATGGGGCTCAAGCCACAAACCTCTGCAATAACCGGTAAAAAGCGTTGCTGCTTGCCCCTTGTATGTAATTTACATGGATAATTTAATGGTTTGATTTTGTTTTTCAGAATCCAGAATTGACAAGCCGGGCACAGACTGGAAAAAGGTATTATCATGCTCTGTTCTCTTCTATAAACATTGACTCAACCCTTGGCATCATAGTATTTACATTGCGATAGAGGTTCATATCTGTTTACTTCAAATTCTTACACAAGCTGTGTGTGTTGGTCTCTGTTAAATGGTTTTGGGTTTGTAGACGTTAATTGTGCTCTGAAATATCGGTGTGAACCATGGCCATAAGATCTAAATGTGTCTGTACTTGCATCTGTGTTGTGTGTATGTGTGCTTATATCTGCTAAAGTGCGTGTGCAAAGTGTGAAATGTGTGCATTCCCTTCCTTCACCTAATATATTCACAGCAGTTGTCAAACTTAAGTCTTTTTGTTGCACAGCAACATCACCACTGAATTCGTTCATTAACATTTTGCTTCTGTTTGTGAATACATGAATGTTACAATTACCATGTTCGTTAGTAAACATGGAGACCCCTTGAGAGAGCTTGTGAGTATGAGCGCACGGCACTTATAACCTCGATGAACTTCATCCGAGCGGCATCGACATCGTATCATCCGTGTTGACGTGTCGTGTGAAACAGCTCTACATCGAGCAGTACCAGCTGAAGACACGGGCACAGCGCGAATGGCAAAGCGCGTTCATGCAACCATGGCCCGTGCAAGATCCAATTCCGCTTGTACCAAACCATCCCAGGCCTCTCTACCCCCCCGGTATCATCGGGGGTGCCTACGACGTCTGGCCCGACTTCGGGCTCCCAGGCGGCCCTGTGGGTCCGCTGTTGCAGAGGCCACCGCCGCGCTGGAGGTTTGACCCCACCGACCCCTCGGGGTCTCGCCGACCTCGATTCAATCCTGGCCCTGGGTTTGGGGGATTCTTTCTGCGCTAACAGCTGTGGCTGACTATAGGACATCCGGGGTGCATAGTTTTTTTTCTTTCATGTTTGCTTTTTTGTTTCAACAGCCGAAATCTATTGTTGCACTAAAAACATTTGCGTGTATAAAACCTGCAATACTCTGTAGCGTTCCAAATACCTAAGGGACTGCTGGCGCTGGTGTAGAACTACAGGCTCTGAATGCTTGTCCCAACGTCATCGTAACAAGCGCTGCCGTATAAATGAAAAATATACACGGGAATATGCTAATTATTTAGGCATTAACTCTTCTGAACAATAGCCTTTGCCTGAAACAACATTGGCTTGTTTGATTATTATTTTTTGATTGTAAGACAGGCACTGTGTTCTTTGGCACTTTTTGTAAAGTAGCTGTTTCGTGGCCTTGTGTGTGCAGAAGCTGGTTTCTGTCCCATCGGGTGACATCAATGATATTTTCATTGTACTCTATTGTGCTTTGTATTATTACACGGTCAGCAATAGAAACGTGACGGCCGATGTATAACTGCTTTCCATTTTACTTTTGTAAAGAACTACAGAATGTGTGAGATATACTGCAGAATATCTATGGGTTTAACACTTTTATGTTTAAATGCTGGAATCCGAGTGTAAGACAGTAATTAAAAATGTGTGTCATGTCTTTTGTGAAATGTGTTGCTCTTCCAACTTTCTAGTGAGCTGAAATAATCATATGATCATAGGTTTTTCCTCCTTTTTTCTGGCAACAAAACATGTGTTAAGATGTTAAAACACCAAACTAAAACCGTTTACAGAGAACCATGTCTGCATTAACCACAATGCTTGTGGTCAGAATGCAAACAAAAAACATACTCTGATAACGAACAATGCATATATTATCAGAGTATGTTTTTTGTTTGCATTCTGACCACAAGCATTGTGGTCAATGCAGACATGATTCCTTGTAAAAGTTTTCAGTCTTAACACCTGTTTTGTTGCCAGAAAAAAGGGAAAATCCTATTATCATATTTTGGTACTGGCAAAGGAGGTCCCATGATAAAATAATCATAATTTGTGTATCATTAAAACGCTTGTACACGTGATACATTACTTTGTTTGGTTGGCTGTATCGAGATGTTTGTGTATTTCACAACGCACATTTGGTCAAATTATTACGTGGCCTAACCCAAAATTTGATTGCGAATCATTTTTGTCACGAAAACCTATGCCCTCAAGTAACAATGTGTGAGTTTTCTTAAACGGCCACAATTTTAAATGGCAAGGTGTGTTTGAAACAGTGCACGCTGAATTAAGGGATGGGAAGAAATCCCCAAAAATACAAAATGGGTTAAGACAAAGTTCTTTCACTTTCTCGTTAATGTATAAAACGCGTCATTTATGTAAGCACCCCACCTGTTGAGCCAATAAATGGTTAAATTGCAACATACCATTGTCACCTCTAATTTGTTACCTCACCAACAACCACCAATTGGTTAATTCTTATGCAATTTGAACTTGTATAGTTTTTTTTCTATAGGTAAAGGAGCGCTACGGTGGCAAGATCGCTGGGTATGCAGGGAGTCGTGGGTATGCAGGGAGTCGTGGGTTCGATCGCGACCCCGACGCCCGTATATTTAGAGGTTGCGTGTCTCTCGCCATTGTCGTAGATTTTTTTTTTCTCCAAGTCCGCCGGTTTATTTCCCTACACATTTAGAGTCAACGTGCGTTTGGAGTTTTGCTGCAATAAATGTCCACATGTTAAGCGACTTCGTTGAGCTATCATTTGTGACCAGGTCGCTTCTGAAAAAGAACCTAATAGCTCCGTTGGGCTTTACCTGGTAAAATCGTTTTTTTTGTCGTGATTTTCTTACCTTTCCAATACTTGGCACTCCTATCGTGTTTCTCTGCATTGCTTACTGTTGTAACTTTCTGACCCGCCCCTACCGGACGTCTGTGAAAAGAGCTTCATAGCTCATCGGATTCCTCCCAGTATAAGTAAACATTTTTATTCTTAAGTCTGTATTATAAAAAAAATGCTTACTGTGGCCAATGCCCGCAGAATTGAACCAGCGACAGAATTCCACAGCGAGCATCCTTTTTATGCGTTGTGCTGCAATTTCTGGGAAGCCAGAAGGCCGAATTCTTATCATTGCCTTGCTGTGTTGTTTGATGGGGGGAGGAGGGGGGGGCACATGGGGAAGGTTGGGCAAACACGTGTGTGGTTAGCCTTGGAAGCCCAGAGTGGAGCTGAGTACGCCACATCAAACCCACATCCCGCGCGTGGTAAGAGCTCTCTGTTTTTGTATTCTCCACGCGAAAGCAGCAGTCTAGAGAATGTGTATAGATATGTGCCTGAGTGACTGATGACAAGTGTTTTGTATACTTGATTGCCGTGCGTAGCAGTACTATGCAGTATCTGTAGGACACTTGGTGGGATCTGTTTGGTTGTAAGCGACATTACTTTGAAGTAAAGGGACAATGTATTCAACTGTTTCTGTGATACTCTTTTCGGTGAAGTCACGTGGGTAGAAAATAATAGATCACGACGTTTCGATTGCAACACAAGCGACCGTCATCAGGTGATGCAATCGCAGCAGGCAAACTGCTGAAACAGGAGGGAGAGCTTCCGTGACAAGAGGCTTTTTTTTAAATCCTTTATATTAAGTTCGCGTGCTTGCTTAGGACTGTGCAAATCTTTCGGTCGTTTTTTAACCCACTTCCCGTGATCCAATCGAGCTGACATTTTCCACACAGACTCGTTGTGCGTGACAATGTTTGTGAAAATTTTTTTCTAAAATGTTATACTTTTTAGGACCAATAATATATTTAATTACCAATTGCTTTATGGTGCCATGCAATCATCTGACCCATAGGTGGCAGCCATCTCAAGCCAGAGGACGAGAGGACTCTAGCCGCCACGCATATGAAGGATTTATAGTGAAAAACTTTGTTTTTACGGGTTATACTTGTATAGGTATATATTAACTTTTTTCTACCTCCGTGACTTTACCGAAAGAACCAAACTGTGGATTCCTGCAGTCACGAAAGCTTCAAATCCAGATTGTTTCTGTGATATTCTTGGTTCTTTCGGTTAAGTCACGTAGAAGGGAAATAATAAAAATGAAACAATAAAATTCTCACGACGTTTCGGCCACAACGCAAGCACCCATCCTCAGGTGAAGAAACTGAGCTGTCGGAAAGACAGCGTCCTAATGAACACTGCTAAGCTTGGCAGCGTATTTTAAGCTGGGTGGGAGGAGGAGAGAGCCTTGACAAAGGAGTTAACATCAACAGAGGAATTTAGCATATTAATGACATGCAGATATGGGGTTAGTCCTTGCGGAATGTGTAAGCGGTGAAGGGGTCAAAAAGTCATGCTAGTGTATTATGCAGGATTAGCAGTAATAAAGGGAAGGAAAGTTTTATAATAAAGAACTGCAGCAGCCAAACCACAGCTTGATACGTGTTCATTAGGACGCTGTCTTTCCGATGGCTCAGTTTCTTCACCTGAGGACGGCTGCTTGCGTTGTGGCCGAAACGTCGTGAGAATTTTATTTTTTATTTTTATTATTTCCCTTCTACGTGACTTTACCGAAAGAACCAAGAATATGCATCCCTCCAGTCACGAAAGCTTTTAATCGAAATTGTTTCTGTGATGTTGCGTTTCCTGTTGAAACTACTCAAACTTTGAACACTAACACATTGTCGACTGCTTATCTTGAGCTGTTGTGTGTGCGCCAACCTCTTAGGGAAAATATTGCCATGGGGCCCAATGGATATTGGATCAAATGCGTATTCTCTGCGGGATTCCTGCTGATCTGCATCATTGTTGCACCGGCTAATGCAGGTACATACCAGCAGGACCTTATTAAACTTGCCTTCAGGCACAGGAGTGCTTTGAAACTTCAAATCCACGCTTGTGAAATACATAAGAGCGTGCCTGCCAATTTTTCCCTTGAGTATTTCGATGTTTTGCACACATATACAATGTTTTCGAAACTTGCATTATTTTTTTTATGATGGTTATGAGTCTGCCTGTTGAATTTTTTCGTTTATAATTGTATTAGATTCTGCACACAAGGTCTTATGCGGCTCCATAGTGTAAAGCCTTGACTCCTGAATTGCGAGGCGGTGCCACTTATTTTGGGTGTGCAGACATCCTCATGTTAACATTGCAGAACAGTTGTCATTGTATGGCCGTCCGTTTCAGTTTTATTCAGTAAGTTATTGGTTACGGTTTGAATGCCAGCGAACTAATCGTGATTGCAAGCAATTTTCTAGGTTAACATGAAAGATTCGAACGAAACTTCGTGGAAGGTTTAGCGTAACTAATGTGGAATAAACTAAGGCGGAGGGGAAGTTTGCAATCGGTGGGACACGTTGCAAGATAGAGGGTAGCTTACTGAATCGGGCATTGATTGCAATTTGATTTCATGGAAATGTAGGAGTTGTTGACTTGTACAGTTAGCATTGCTGATAACTGACCGGTGGAATCGTAACACTTTGGTATTTAATGAGCACATGAATGCAGCTGCATCTCAAGGCGCTGGACATGAAGTAGGATGTGCATCACAGGAGTCGAGCAACATATGGGAGAGATGTATTTTGTGTAACATTAGAAAGCTGTTTCATATACATGCATTAGGGGGTCGGTCATTGGCAGAAAAGGAGGCGGCCTTAAGTCTTGACTTGAATGGGCACAGGTACGATCAGGAGAAGTGCATTCCAGCAGAGGATGAGCAACTCACCAATGAGCAGAGGTTCACCGAATTTTAGTGTATTTGATTCGTTATACAGATGGTCCTGTTTAGCCAATCGCCCTGCTGGTTTACAAGGGAGATGGGTGGTGCGTGAGTACAGCAGCAACAAAAAGGCAAGGACATCGATAGAAGTGAGAGTTTTGACAGAGTGACCTGGTTACTGGAGTGGTGAGCACATGATGGGAAGTATAGTGTGATGAGAGGGGAGAAGTTGGTGGGGAGGAGGGGGGAGTCTGTGGATGATTTTGGATTGACTGGAGTCTGGAGAGGATCGGAGGATTGGATTGATGTGGTTTCTGCTATGAGTGATGGCCTTCTGGATAATTTTCAGTTTGGAGGTGAGAGATTGGGGGACGGCCATTGAGGAGGGGTCAAGGTGAGAGTGATACGTTACACTAGTCTAGGAAGTAGCGACTGCAGGAAATGTTGTGCATATTCAAGCTGATTTGTTATTGTCAAGTTGTGATCACTTGCTAAAGTCCACCCTGCGTGGGTCACATTTAACATTGTTTTACTTGTTTTGCAGCTCCTAGCCTTGACACAACATTTCAAACTTCATCTACAGAAGAAGAGAGCTTGACCCCACTTCACGCCACACCTCCGCTTTTCAACACTATGGGTACTTATTGAGTAAAGCCCTCCAACGTCAACCGGCTACCCATGAATTAAGTAGCACGGTCGTTTAATTCTACTCGCTTGACAATGGAACAATGGTCCGGTTTTCGTAGCCCCCTTGTGATGAACGAGACAATCTGATGATGGCAAGTGGGCAGAAGCACCCTCCTGGTGTTGTGGCCCCCTGCACTAGAAATTACCGTGTGTTCTCCACCACACAGCGCCTCCGCAAAGCTTACACGGGTGCCGTAGGGTGAGATGAACGTATTGGCTATACACCGGTGGTGCGTGATGTAAAAAAGACGAAAAAAGCTACATTTTCGCAATTATTAATTTTTCCGCAATTCGCAACCCCCGGTCAGAAATTCTTGTGAGGTCGTTGCGTCCAAAATCAGTTTCCGTGATGTTCGGAGCAGTCGTAAGACGAATGTTAAGAGCAGCTGAACACGAAGATTAACATTCTGTTGTGAGTCCCCGTATGGAACCCAGCCTGATGAGGATTGGCTCCGTGTTACAAAGGCAGATTTGACTCGTGCCCGAGAACTTGGTCGGACAGTTCCTCGATTCAATTGTGGAATCATTTCTTGTGCGGACGTTGGCATCGGAAGATCATTTACTCGTGGTGTCACACATTCGAATGCGAAAGCAGCTGCTCAATCTAAATGCAGCTTCTGATGAAGAGTCTGCAGCTCGCTCAAGGACAACGGTGACATCGTTGCTGGAGATTGAACTCAGGACATTATACATACATTTGAAGCAAGCACTCGACCACTGAGCTACATCCCTACCGTTGGACCTCAGATTCATCATGAAAAATGAATCGTGAAGATGTGACATTAACGTGTCCTGACAGCCATGATCATTTTGAGCGACAACAGTTGTATCTGAACTTGTGTGACATCGAGAAAGCAGTTTTTTTTTAATATACATTAGGGGGTTGGTCATAGGCAGAAAAGAAGACGGCCCTTGAGTCTTGATTTGAATGGGCACAGGAACGATGAGCAGAAGTGAATTCCAGCAGAGAATTAGTAACCAACCAACGAGCAGAGGCTAACCGAGTTTGAGTTGATTTGATGCGCTTCACAGATGGTCCCGTTTAGGCAATCGCCCTGCTATTTTACGAGGGAAATCAGTGGTGTGCGAGTACATTTACAACAAATAGACAAGGGCATCGATAAAAAAGTGAGAGTGAGTTTTAACAGAGTGACCTGGTTACTGGAGTGGCGAGCACATGGTGGGAAGTCGAGTGTGATGAGAGGGGAGTTGGCGGGCAGGAGGGGGGAGTCTGGAGGATTTTGGATTGACTGGAGTCAGTAGAGAGGATCTGAGGATTGGGTTGATGTGGTTTCTTCTATGAGTGATGGCCTTCTGGATAATTTGCAGTTTGGAGGTGAGAGATTGGGGGAAGGTGAGAGTGACGACAAGTTTCACTAGTCTAGGAAATAGCAAATGCAGGAAATATTGTGCATATTCAGGCTGATTTCTTGTTGTCATTTGTGATCACTAAAATCAAACCTGCGTTGGCCACATTTTTATATTGTTTTAAACTTGTTTTGCAGTTCCTCACCTTGGCACAACATTTCAAACTTCACCTCCAGAACAAGAGAGCTTGACCCCACCTCAATCCATACCTCCGCTTTTCAACACTATGGGTACTTATTGAGTAAAGCCCTCCAACCTCTACCGACTATCCATCAATTAAGTAACACGGTTGCTGAATTCTACTCGCTGGACAATGGAACAATGACTCCGTTTCGTAGCCCCCTTGTGGTGAACGAGACAACCTGCTGAAGGCAGGCTGGCAAGAAGCACCCTCTTGGTGTTGTGGCCCCGTGCACGAGAATTGACCGTTCTACACCCCACGGCACCGCCACAAAGTTTACACGGGTTCCGTAGGATTCCACATCTAATGTTAGCTTTGGCAGGTGGTCTTGTTAGGGTCAAATGACCGTATTGGCTGTACACTGGTGGTGTGCAGTATTGAAAAAACGAAATCTTCGCAATTATTAATTTTCCCACGATTCGCAACCCCGGTCAGAAAATCTTGCTGGGTGGTGGTGCGTCAAAATCAGTTCTCGTGATGATGTTCGAAGCTTCACAGTCTGTTGCCGTATAGCAGCACTCAGCCTGATGACGATTGGCTGCACCGTGTTCCTCAACTCACATCTGGAATCATTTCTCGTGCGGATGGTGGCATCAAAAGATCACGACTCAGTTTTCAGTTTAATTTATTTGGTATAGCCCTGTGAGCCATTCGGCTCTTGAATCTGGTGCAACCGCAACAAACAAAAACATGAACAAGAAACATCTTAAAGTGACTATGCGCAAACAGAAAAATCCAGGAAAAACCCCAGCAAAGTCTTCCAGAAAAAGCACCGTGTATCAATGCTGTGTGCAAAAATCCAAGTAGTATGCAAGTTAAACAATAACAACCATAAGACAATTTAGATTAAAGTTATCAGTCTTAACTCTGTACTACAACAAACAAATATAGCTAAACCAAAACGACTCGTGGTGTTACACGTCCCGAATGGGAAGGCAGCTGCTGGATCTAAGGCACAACTTCTGATGTAGAGTCCTTCAGCTCACTCAAGGGCAACAGTGGCATCGTCAGACTGTTTTACGAGGACCGCTGTGTTATGCTGCACCGGTGTACCGCCAATACGTCCAAATATTCTGGGGCAGTGATGCGGCCTTTGGGTAAACAACGCTTGCGGCTTGTTGCAGAGGATCGCCGTTCTGGCCAGCGGTTGGTCGAGAGGGCCCAGGTTAACACTCTGGATGTGTTAACTGAAAATGGACGCCTGTCTGCCTTGCGGTGGATGTCAAATATCCCATGATGTTTTTTTTTTAATGGAGTAGGCCATGTGTGCCAATGTCATGGTCCAATTTGGCAATTAAGCAAAAAAACTTGGAAATTGCTAAATTCGGAAAACCAATAGTATATCCTCCTACTGGCCATGTTGCTATTGGCCTGCCAATAGGCAAGCCAGTGCTGTGTTCACCTTCGCCCACACAGGGATAACTACTATTGGGGATCCCCATGGCTAAAATACAGAGTGCTTCAAAATTTGTTTAACACTTATATGGGACTATCGTTTTAAAATGGAAAAAATTAACCCGTAAAAGCAAAGTTTTTCACTATAAATCCTTTATATGCGTGTTCAATGGGCCACAACCCAGCCCACATTGGTCTTTGAAACGGGCGGCTAGAGTCCTCTCGTCCTCTGGCTTGAGATGGCTGCCACCTATGGGTCAGATGATTGCCTGCCACCATTAAGCAATTGATAATTAAATATAAAAAAAATTTTACCTAAACATGTAAAATTTTGGAAAAAAATTTTCAGGAAAATAAATTGTCACGCACAACGAGTCTGTGTGCAAAATGTCAGCTCGATTGGATCACGGGAAGTGGGTTAAAAAACGACCGAAAGATTTGCACGGTCGTAAGCACGCAAGCAAGTGAACTTAATATAAAGGATTTAAAAAGAACGGATTAATACGCTGTAACATGATAACAAATGTAATGTAAATAGCTTCAACAAGTCAAAGAGTCTCCACTTGATCGCCATCGTTGTCAACACGTGCCTGGAATCTTCTCCAGGTGGTCTCCAGAGCCCGAAGGCACATGTCTTGTGGTGTTGTTGAAAATTCTCAGAAGTGTTAAAACAAAATTAAGCACCCTGTATTACATCTTGGCATTGGGATGAGTGAGATGAGATGTGATGTTAGGTGCTCTGAGTTGAGGTATTTGAAACCCCTATAAATGCAAATCATGATTCTATAGTTGGTCCTTGTGAGGAATGCTGCTTGCTGAGACTGTGTGATTGATTTTGGAATATTACAATAACCTTATGCCTTGTGTGTATTTCACACTTGATTTTTGGTTTCGGCCACAGTAAACATCTGACCGAAAGAACCAAACAATATGACCAAATGTGTGCTCTTGAGAACCCTCCACTGTCTGACACAGCCAAACAAATTACATTTCCACGTGTACAATCCTCACAAGCAAATGTAGCAACGGGATATGATGTTTAATTTCTAACGATGTCGAACATTACCATAGCAAGATCCAGTAAGGTCGTAAAGTTGATGAGTATTCATGGTGTGCCTGCTTCCAACATTCTGCATTTGCCATCGAGCGGTGTAACTTGTGTACGTTACAATTGGAAACCCCTAACGGTACTCTTCTGCCTGTCTTTTTTTGCAAAAGATGTTGCACCGAACGTACAACAAACTCCAACAATAATTGTGCCTCCCCGTCCGTCTCCCGGCAAGACTCCAAAAGGTGAGAGGGCTCGAGAATGAAGCGCTGCTGGAAATGGGTCTGCCTTAAGGGCACCACCCCGACTATGCAGAGCACAAACTCTTAGGTTTTTTCGGTAAAGTCACGTAGGTAAAAATAAAATAAAATAAATAATAATAGAAATAAAACAATAATAATAAATAATAATAACCATTTATTATATTATTTTATCTTTTCTATTATTTTTATTTTTACCTACGTGACTTTACCGAAAAAACCTAAAAGTATGAATCCTTGCAGTCATGAAAGCTTCAAATCTAGAATTATGCAGAGCACAGCTTGCTGCAAAATCATTTGAAATATCCAGACAGATTTGTTTAAGACTGGAACCAGAGGGACTGTGTAAACTTGCATTGGCAATATTGCACAAGTGCACAAAACAAAGTCAACACATTTGCCCATAACACCACCCTGAATAGGAAATATATATATAAGGGAAATTTGTGAATATGTGTGTCTGGTCGAAATGTTTAGCATACTTCCCAACACGCACTGTACGTAGCCAACCGTGCTCATCGAATGTGCGGGAGAATTGATGGTATTATTAGTCGTCCTAGGAATGCATAATTTCAATAATCTAAGTGAATGTTTTCAGGTCATTGCAGTTCACCACTTTCAGGTAGCGATTACCTTCACCTCAAAGAAAATACTGGACCGGTTGTGGTAGATGTCATTTCTAAGCCTGTTTCTAGTTGGAACTGGCACGAGGAGGACTATCCTGGACAAGAGTTGCCTTACTTCATCAGTTGTCTATATATATAAAAGGGAAAGTTGTGAATATGTGTGTCTGTTCGAAATGTTTGGCATACTTCCCAACATGCAACAGACTTGAAATTTGGCATGTGTGTAGCTTCCAGACTGTACACAATACAAAAAGTATAAAAATAGACTTTTGTATGTGGGGGGGGGGGGGGGTGCAATAATGGATATATTTTGCACGGCAAGTGAGCGGTGACGTCACATCTGTGATGTCACCCGCATGCGGCAGCGTCACGCAGTGTGCCCTGCTGACGTCACGCACCCCCCACCCTCCGCGTAGGCGGTGTATTAATCCAAGACAACAATCCAAGTCCCGGGCGAAGCCGGATAGTAAAGCTAGTCAAGAATATAACAGGTTACATTGTGGGCAAAGACTCCTATTCATTCTAGATTTGAAGTTTTCGTGACTGCAGGGATCCATACTCTTTGGTTCTTTCGGTAAAGTCACGTACGTATAAAATAAAATACATTTATACCTACGTGACTTTACCTAAAGAACCAAAAAGTATACTCTTCATCTTCTTGGTTCTTTCGGTAAAGTCACGTAGAAGGGAAGTAATAAAATAATAAAAATGAAAAATAATAAAAAAAAATTCTCACAACGTTTTTTTTATTATGTTTTATTTTTATTATTTTATTACTTCCCTTCTACGTGACTTTACCGAAAGAACCAAGAAGATGAATCACTGCAGTCACGAAAGCTTTAAATCGAAAGTATACTCTTCTTCATATAGTATTCTGGGGTTATTTCCATTTGGGCCACAATTACCCCTAAACAGGCCCTCCTGGAACATAAGAACATATTGGCACGGAGACACCAATTATGCTAGCCTCTCGTTCATAAGAACATATTGGCACGGAGACACCAATTATGCTAGCCTCTCGTTCATAAGAACATATTGGCACGGAGACACCAATTATGCTAGCCTCTCGTTCATAAGAACATATTGGCACGGAGACACCAATTATGCTAGCCTCTCGTTCATAAGAACATATTGGCACGGAGACACCAATTATGTTAGCCTCTCGTTCATAAGAACATATTGGCACGGAGACACCAATTATGCTAGCCTCTCGTTCATAAGAACATATTGGCACGGAGACACCAATTATGCTAGCCTCTCGTTCATAAGAACATATTGGCACGGAGACACCAATTATGCTAGCCTCTCGTTCATAAGAACATATTGGCACGGAGACACCAATTATGATAGCCTCTCGTTCATAAGAACATATTGGTACGGAGACACCAATTATGCTAGCCTCTCGTTCATAAGAACATATTGGCACGGAGACACTAATTATGCTAGCCTCTCGTTCATAAGAACATATTGGCACGGAGACACCAATTATGCTAGCCTCTCGTTCATAAGAACATATTGGCACGGAGACACCAATTATGCTAGCCTCTCGTTCATAAGAACATATTGGCACGGAGACACCAATTATGCTAGCCTCTCGTTCATAAGAACATATTGGCACGGAGACACCAATTATGCTAGCCTCTCGTTCATAAGAACATATTGGCACGGAGACACCAATTATGCTAGCCTCTCGTTCATAAGAACATATTGGCACGGAGACACCAATTATGCTAGCCTCTCGTTCATAAGAACATATTGGCACGGAGACACCAATTATGTTAGCCTCTCGTTCATAAGAACATATTGGCACGGAGACACCAATTATGCTAGCCTCACGTTCATAAGAACATATTGGCACGGAGACACCAATTATGCTAGCCTCTCGTTCATAAGAACATATTGGCACGGAGACACCAATTATGCTAGCCTCTCGTTCATAAGAACATATTGGCACGGAGACACCAATTATGCTAGCCTCTCGTTCATAAGAACATATTGGCACGGAGACACCATTATGTTAGCCTCTCGTTCATAAGAACATATTGGCACGGAGACACCAATTATGCTAGCCTCACGTTCATAAGAACATATTGGCACGGAGACACCAATTATGCTAGCCTCTCGTTCATAAGAACATATTGGCACGGAGACACCAATTATGCTAGCCTCTCGTTCATAAGAACATATTGGCACGGAGACACCAATTATGCTAGCCTCTCGTTCATAAGAACATATTGGCACGGAGACACCAATTATGCTAGCCTCACGTTCATAAGAACATATTGGCACGGAGACACCAATTATGCTAGCCTCTCGTTCATAAGAACATATTGGCACGGAGACACCAATTATGCTAGCCTCTCGTTCATAAGAACATATTGGCACGGAGACACCAATTATGCTAGCCTCTCGTTCACAGGTGCATTTCTGGTACCTGTGATTTTAAAACTCGCTGTGAAGAAGCTGAAGCTGAATGACTCTAGATATGGGGTTTTTTTTCGCACTGGAAGAATCGTTCCATTTGAATGCTTTGTGTCATTTCCAGGCTCATGCTCCACTCCACCCGACCTGCCTCACTCGGACGTCGTGAGTGGGTGGAGCGAGGACATCTACAGGGAGGGGCATTTGGTCACATACGCCTGCCAGAGTGGCTTCACTGACATTCAGGCGCGCCGCTTCTCCATTGTGTGCGAAAGTGATAACGACTCTCCGGGCAAACTGCGCTGGAGCAGCCCGTACTTCCTGTGTCAAAGTGAGCAGGGCCAACAGTGCCTGCCCACTCACCCAACCACCCACTCATGTAGCTGCCTACCCACTTGCCCACTCACCCACCTACCCACTCATGTAGCTGCCTACCCACTTGCCCACTCACCTGCCCCCTCACCTACCCACCCACTCATGTAGCTGCCTTCCCACTTGCCCACTCACCTGCCCCCTCACCTACCCACTCATGTAGCTAACTACCCACTTCCCCACTCACCTGCCCACCCACCCACCCACTCATGTAGCTGCCTTCCCACTTGCCCACTCACCCACCTACCCACTCATGTAGCTGCCTACCCACTTCCTCACTCACCTGCCCACTCACTCACTCACCCACCCACTCATGTAGCTGCCTTCCCAATTCCCCACTCACCCACCCACTCATGTAGCTACCTACTCACTTCCCCACTCACCTGCCCACTCACTCACCCACCCACTCATGTTGCTACCTACTCACTTCCCCACTCACTTGCCCACTCACCCGCCCACCCACTCATGTAGCTGCCTTCCCAATTCCCCACTCACCCACCCACTCATGTAGCTACCTACTCACTTCCCCACTCACCTGCCCACTCACTCACCCACCCACTCATGTAGCTGCCTTCCCACTTGCCCACTCACCCACCTACCCTACCCACTCATGTAGCTGCCTACTCACTTCCCCACTCACTTGCCCACTCACCCGCCCACCCACTCATGTAGCTGCCTTCCCAATTCCCCATTTACCCACCCACTCATGTAGCTACCTACTCACTTCCCCACTCACCTGCCCACTCACCCGCCCACCCACTCATGTCGCTACCTACCCACTTCCCCACTCACCTGCCCACTCACCCAGCCACTCATGTAGCTGCCTTCCCAATTCCCCACTCACCCACCCACTCATGTAGCTACCTACCCACTTCCCCACTCACCTGCCCACTCACTCACCCACCCACTCATGTTGCTACCTACTCACTTCCCCACTCACTTGCCCACTCACCCGCCCACCCACTCATGTAGCTGCCTTCCCAATTCCCCATTTACCCACCCACTCATGTAGCTGCCTACCCACTTCCCCACTCACCTGCCCACTCACTCACCCACCCACTCATGTTGCTACCTACTCACTTCCCCACTCACTTGCCCACTCACCCGCCCACCCACTCATGTAGCTGCCTTCCCAATTCCCCACTCACCCACCCACTCATGTAGCTACCTACTCACTTCCCCACTCACCTGCCCACTCACTCACCCACCCACTCATGTAGCTGCCTTCCCACTTGCCCACTCACCCACCTACCCACTCATGTAGCTGCCTACCCACTTCCTCACTCACCTGCCCACTCACTCACCCACCCACTCATGTAGCTGCCTTCCCAATTCCCCACTCACCCACCCACTCATGTAGCTACCTACTCACTTCCCCACTCACCTGCCCACTCACTCACCCACCCACTCATGTAGCTGCCTACCCACTTCCTCACTCACCTGCCCACTCACTCACCCACCCACTCATGTAGCTGCCTTCCCAATTCCCCACTCACCCACCCACTCATGTAGCTACCTACTCACTTCCCCACTCACCTGCCCACTCACTCACCCACCCACTCATGTAGCTGCCTTCCCACTTGCCCACTCACCCACCTACCCTACCCACTCATGTAGCTACCTACTCACTTCCCCACTCACTTGCCCACTCACCCGCCCACCCACTCATGTAGCTGCCTTCCCAATTCCCCATTTACCCACCCACTCATGTAGCTACCTACTCACTTCCCCACTCACCTGCCCACTCACCCGCCCACCCACTCATGTCGCTACCTACCCACTTCCCCACTCACCTGCCCACTCACCCAGCCACTCATGTAGCTGCCTTCCCAATTCCCCACTCACCCACCCACTCATGTAGCTACCTACCCACTTCCCCACTCACCTGCCCACTCACTCACCCACCCACTCATGTTGCTACCTACTCACTTCCCCACTCACTTGCCCACTCACCCGCCCACCCACTCATGTAGCTGCCTTCCCAATTCCCCACTCACCCACCCACTCATGTAGCTACCTACTCACTTCCCCACTCACCTGCCCACTCACCCGCCCACCCACTCATGTCGCTACCTACCCACTTCCCCACTCACCTGCCCACTCACCCAGCCACTCATGTAGCTGCCTTCCCAATTCCCCACTCACCCACCCACTCATGTAGCTACCTACTCACTTCCCCACTCACCTGCCCACTCACTCACCCACCCACTCATGTAGCTGCCTTCCCACTTGCCCACTCACCCACCTACCCACTCATGTAGCTACCTACTCACTTCCCCACTCACCTGCCCACTCACTCACCCACCCACTCATGTAGCTGCCTTCCCACTTGCCCACTCACTCACCTACCCACTCATGTTGCTACCTACTCACTTCCCCACTCACTTGCCCACTCACCCGCCCACCCACTCATGTAGCTGCCTTCCCAATTCCCCACTCACCCACCCACTCATGTAGCTACCTACTCACTTCCCCACTCACCTGCCCACTCACCCGCCCACCCACTCATGTCGCTACCTACCCACTTCCCCACTCACCTGCCCACTCACCCAGCCACTCATGTAGCTGCCTTCCCAATTCCCCACTCACCCACCCACTCATGTAGCTACCTACTCACTTCCCCACTCACCTGCCCACTCACTCACCCACCCACTCATGTAGCTGCCTTCCCACTTGCCCACTCACCCACCTACCCACTCATGTTGCTACCTACTCACTTCCCCACTCACCTGCCCACTCACTCACCCACCCACTCATGTAGCTGCCTTCCCACTTGCCCACTCACCCACCTACCCACTCATGTAGCTACCTACTCACTTCCCCACTCACCTGCCCACTCACTCACCCACCCACTCATGTAGCTGCCTTCCCACTTGCCCACTCACCCACCCACCCACTCATGTAGCTACCTACTCACTTCCCCACTCACTTGCCCACTCACCCGCCCACCCACTCATGTCGCTACCTACCCACTTCCCCACTCACCTGCCCACTCACCCAGCCACTCATGTAGCTGCCTTCCCAATTCCCCACTCACCCACCCACTCATGTAGCTACCTACTCACTTCCCCACTCATCTGCCCACTCACCCGCCCACCCACTCATGTCGCTACCTACCCACTTCCCCACTCACCTGCCCACTCATCCAGCCACTCATGTAGCTGCCGACGCACTTTTCCACTTGCCCAACCACCTGCCCACACAAAGTTGCATTACTTACTTCCCCACTCTCCTCCGCACTCAGGAAGTGTTTGCTCACCATCTACACTCACCTACCCATTCGTGTACCTGCCTATTCACCTGCCTACTCGACAGCCTGCTCTACTGCCCACCTCTCAGTGCTCCTCCTGGGAGTTTGTTTCTCAAGGTTGTGATGATGTATGAGTGGGCAGTGCGAATATTGATGAAGTTATCAGCTGTCTCCTCTAGGTTTCCCTCCTTTGTTTGTGTTGCAGTCACTTGTGGGCGTCCGGAGAACCCTGCCAACGGGTTTGTGGAGGGACAATTTTACACCTTTGGGTCCACAGTCACATTCAAGTGTCGGAGAGGGTGAGTGCAGACACAGGAAGGCTGTTTTCAAAACTCTTTACGGGCTCGCCCCTGCCTATGTTTCCCCTCTGATTTAAGTTTGTTCCCCTCCCCGGGTTCTCCGTTCATCTTTTCTAGGCTCTGCTCTCCACCCCAAAAGGTAAACTTAAAACCATCGGTGGACAAGCTTTCTCATGCACAGCCCCTGCAGTCTGGGAGTAGCCTCTCACTCCACATTGGACATATCAACTCCATCATGTGATTTCAAATCTGAACTAAATGCATTTTTATTCATCCAGGCATACTGCTGAAAGATAGGCAATCACATTTTAGATTTGAAGCTTTCGTGACTGCAAGGATTCATACTCTTAGTTCTTTCGGTAAAGTCACGTAGGTAAAAAAATGAAATTAAAATTGTTTTATTTTTATTAATTTTTATTTCATTTTTTTACCTACGTGACTTTACCGAAAGAACTAAGAGTATAGGCAATCACATTTTGGACATTGGACCGATTGGTACAAATTGGTCGTAACTTTTTGGTTACTCCACCACCGGCCCCTCCTGGCTTGGTTGGAAAGTTGGGATTGCGCTCTGCTGTGTTAGACCTCGTGGACTAATTTATTCGTCGCAATAACCTTTTCTGTTGTTTGTGTTTTTTGTTTCGGTGCCATCTCCTTGTTTATGCTTTTATTTTATTTTGCTTGGCAGTGGGGTTTTCATTTGCTTTGTAGTGGCTGTATATGGGATTTGGTCCTCATAGTATAGAATTAGTGTACACTTTTTTTTTCTTCTTGGTTCTTTCGGTAAAGTCACGTAGAAGGGAAGTAATAAAATAATAAAAATAAAACATAATAAAATAATTCTCACGACGTTTCGGCCACAACGCAAGCAGCCATCCTCAGGTGAAGAATAAACACCACCAAGCTTGGAGCGTATAATTAAGCTCGGTTGGAGGGGGGGGGAGGTGAGAAGAAGAGAGCCTAGACAAAATAATTTGCATATCAAATTAAAATTTAATGTACACTGTTATGGTATGCTATTAGCATGAATCAGGCTATATAATTAACGCATTATTAATAAGGTTAATTTCGGCTTCGGCTCAGCTGTCATTGTACACGAGAACGCCTAATTATCCGTGATAATGTCGGGGATCAATTCCGCAGATCCTATTAGCTGCAGGGTTATCCACGACTTTACTCCACCTATCCGCAGCAAGAATAGGGCCACTGATAATAGGGGTTTGTGGCGACCCAACAGCTCCTGTGAATAATAGGAGCTGTGTCGTGATAGGGTAACTAATGAGAGGATTTCTCTTGTAATTATGCATTCAGGTAGGAGGGATGGCATAGTGGCAAGCACTCGCTGACCGAAAGAACCTAAAGAGTATGATGCACCGTCATCATGAGGCCTACTTTGCCAGTACCAAAATATAATAATAGGGGTTTTCCCTTTTTTTCTGGCGACAAAACTGAAACCTCTTGCAAGGGATCATGTTTACATTAACCACAATACTTGCAGTCAGAATGCAAAAAAAATAACACTCTTGATAATTCATGCATTGTCCTTGAAACTGATTGGTCCACACCAGAGACAGCTTTCCTTAGAGCCTAGTCTCATACGTTGTTCGACCAGATAACGCCAAAAGGTGCACAGTTCAAAGACAACGCACTATCAGAGTAATGAGGGCTCGGGGTAAGCATCTACATCATGAAATGTGCGCCTGTTGGCGTCATCTGGTCGAATACCGTATGAGACTACGCTCTAAGGAAAGCTGTCTCTGGTGTGGACCAATCAGTTTCAAGGACAATGCATTAATTATCAGTGTTCTTTTTTTGTTTGCATTCTGATTGCAAGTATTGTGGTTGATGTAAACATGATCCATTGCAAAAGCTTTCAGTTTTGTCGCCAGAAAAAAAGGTGAAAAATCCTATTATTATAGTATCATGTACATTATCGATGCAAACGGTACCTTAACTGAGCCTCATTTAGGTCAGCTCTGCCTAAACTAGCAATCTGCGTCATTGCATCAGTGCCAGCAATGAGGAGAAAAGAGAAGATGACTCCCTTCCAGTAGGTTGTTGGGGGGTGAACATTGCCTTATGGGTGGGCATTAACCATTCTGACACCACCAAAAGATGTTACTTTACCCTTTAGTGGTGGGCTGATGGTCCCACTGATTCGCGCTTTCCTGGGGGAAACAAATGATACATTCAAGTCGAAAAATCGAAGTGATTTCCTACTCAAGTAAGCATTGAGCATTGGAGGTAGCATTCATATCTTGTTTAGAGTCCTGAGTCGGTGGTGGAAATTCCACATTCTCATGGTGGGCGGAAGGGGGCAAGTCTCTCCGTAGCTCAGCTACTGTTGACTTCCCCAGAAAAGTGGTACTCATTTTATTGACCCCAGAGGGTTGATGGGCTGAGTCAACCCCCAACTAGGATGCAAACTGGCAACTTACCACTTGCGAACTGCCAGCTCTACTGCTGAGCCACAAGGCTTCATTGCTCATCACAATGTGTGGCCTCCAAATGTGTATATGAAACCATGTTGGTAAGCCTGGTGTTGATGTTGAATTAACTCCTTTTTTTATTGAAACGACTGAAGATACTTCGTGTTTGGAGCGAACAATTCCACATGTCAAGATGACGGAAATTGGGATAACTTAGTTCCGGAGTGCCGAGGTAAGAATTTTAATCTTTCTTAACAGAAATATTTTATGTGCACCTGTGTTGAATCCAAAATAGTTGTTTTTCTCCTATTGACAACCTCATAAAGAGTGTCTCACTCCCTGATCAGCTTATACTGTACATATCGTAAATGTGACAATTTATCGATTGTAATGCTCACAACATTCAGAGGCGTGGGAAACCAGCACAAGCGAGAAGGCAGCCAGAACCGGTGCCAACAATTTCCCAAGCTCTGCAGTCCTATAATAATAATATCGTATTTTGGGATGTTTGACCAACTCCATTAATGTAGTGCTTTTGTCTTGCACTTTGGTTTCAGAGGTGCAGTGTGAGAGGCCCCCATGGGTCGAGCACGGAGAGGCGGTGTTCAACATCGATGACAACAAAACTATTACATATAACTGTCAGCCAGGCTTCATTCTGGACGGCAATTCTACCTTCCAGTGTCCTCGATAATGGCACATGGGGCCCGAAAAATCTTCCTTACTGCAGACGTAATGCCTACATTTCCTTGAACGATCCAACTGACATTATGGACCTTTGAATTTTTTTTAATGCATGTACATATATTTCGCTAAACCGGCGGTTGTCAACCTGTTGCTGTTGTAAGATCATTGGAACTCACACCTCCCACGCCCCTCACCCTCAACAACCCCCCCACCCGCTCTCAGGTCCCAAGGTCTCCCCTTCCCCCCAGGCTACTACAGCCAAAACGCAGAGAGATCACGTGTCCATGCTTTTAGTCAAAATGTTGTAAGGAATTTGTTTCGTGTCATGCATTCGCATGTTTTGTTGCAGCAACACGGCACTGATGTTGCCCATCCGCATTGGACACTTTCTCATGCACAGTATCCATGCCGCAGCCTGTGTGTGTGTCCCCCACCCCCTATTGAACCCACGGATTGAGAACCACTGCTATTATCAGTGGGGTAGAAGGCAAATCTTAATTTTCTGAGTAGAGCGGGTGAGCGGAGAACACTCGTCATTCTTTTATTGTTGTATTTGTTTATTTTTACCAATTACATGACATTCAATTTAGATGATGACATACGAAGATATTTCCACTTGGCACTTTACAACTAGCAGTTCACCACCCTGAATGCCCCACCCCAGAAAATAACATCGCAGAGTTACTTCTGAATTCACTCACGCGGGCTCTTTGCCAACTCATGGGGCACACTTTTTAACGCCGCAAAAATGGTTTACTGCGTCGCAGATTAATGATTGTAAATATGAAATAATCAAAATTAAGTAAAAAACACTAAAAAATTATTTTTCTGTGTGTGTGTGCAGCCGTTAGACACCAGGCCACGACCATGAACTTGCTACACTTAGGAACCCAGATTAATTATTGGTGACTACCCGGATGTAAACTCAGGTCTTAGCAATACGAGCTCAGTGCCTGACCCTTGAGCGACTCAGACCCCTCATATCATTTATTTTTGAATGAATGAATGAATGGCTGCGACTGTTGAAAATCCAGAACAACTTCACCTCAACCCAACTCTGATCTCCTCACCATCTCATCAACGTTTAAAGTGCACACATCATTTACTTAGCCACGTTTGAATTTGTATTAAATTTAAGTAGCAAAAATAGTCTTTGTATTATAAATTGACTTGATATATCCCAGGTCTTCCTTGCAAAAGAGGCAATGTATCATGTATCTCAACAAGCCAGTTATGTACTCTCTTAGTTAAACAAAGGATACACCTACTACAATTACGAGAAAGTGTTTGCCACCGTTAATGCCACTGTTAATGTGCTTCTGCAAATGCTATTCGTTAGAAAGCGTGTCATTTTCATGAAAATTAATGGCGAGCGTTTACTTTCTGTCCCATCACGCGCACGCACGCACACACGTCCCGCACCCCAGCCCTTCACATGTGCAAGCATCCGCCCCCCATTGCCAACGCCATGCAGTTGTGGAGCACTCAGCAGAGCTACGAGCTGGGCACGAACGTGCGCTACCGCTGCAACCCGGGCTACACAGTGTCGCGCGACTCGTCCTACTTCATCGTGTGCGTCAACATCGACGGTCTGGCCAAGTGGACCCCGCAGAAGCTCAAGTGCCAGCGTGAGTAGCCGCCACGCGCTGCTGCTGCTGCTGCGTCGTCCGGAATGGTCACTCGCGTCGCTCTCGCACAGGGGACGTCGCCCGGCTCGTCGGAGGGACGACTCCGCTCCGCTGTCGTTGCGCGACTGGTTCGCGCACGCACGCTATCTGTCGGAGAGTGACTGAATGTTGCGTGATTTTCTTCGGCACCGTACGTAGCCAACCGTGCGTGCTAATCGGAGGTGCGAGGGGAGGACGACGACGAACTCCTCTTTTGAGAGCTGAATTCGAGGGATGAGTTATGTGACCCGTGAGCTCGGCTGTCCAAAGGGTGACTCGCACACACTTCGAGCCACACATCGGAGGGTGACTTTCACAGTGGGCGAATCGTGTGGTCACCTGATACTTGCACTCATCTGTTGGATGGTTGACTCACTCTCGCTGCTGGTGGCCCATCAGATGGTGAGTAGCCACGTGACCTGTGTACTCAACTGTCAGCAGGTGATTGAACATTTAGTTATCTGCCAGAGGGCGACTCGTGGAGCTGCTGTGTCAGAGGATGCCCCATGTGCCCGTGCATCGGCAGTCGCAAAGGGAATCGCATTGTTACCCTCTATCACTGTGTGATGTCAGGTGACAACTATGTTGAGTGGCGAGCGTGTCAAAGCGACGAGCATGCTATTTAAAGGAAAGGTCCTCAACGTTTTCACGACGTCCATCCTCATTTAACTGCTGTTAATTTTCACGTGTTTTTCAGCGAAACAGTGCAGCTTCCCAGGAGAAATTGAAAATGGGTATTTTAATGGAACGGATTTCATGTATGGAGCATATATCGTATATCACTGTAACCACGGGTGAGAGACACTGCTAATTACTTATTAAATGTATATTCCTCCCTTTTCAAAGTTTACTCCGATACAACTTTCATAAAATGTGACTTAAAAATCGACCAAAAAATGCCTAGGTCTACATTGAGTGCCAGTGTTTATGTACAATGGATAAACAAAGTGTGCGATATGTTTTTCAAGATACAAAGTTAGGTGTTATTAAAATCTTAACGGATTCACCACGTTACCATTTCGACATGGCACGCACGTTTCCTAAGAAATAAAGCATAATCACTTTGTGTAAATATCGCTGTGTAACCGTTTACAGAGAGGAAGCATACAGTACATTATATGAATAAGCAAAGCAAACAATTAAACACGATTAATGCTTTCATTACACAAATTCAGTATTTTATAAAAACTCATAAGTTGTTATTTGTTATTTTTTTTTAATTCCAGATATATTATGGGAGAAAGGCAAATGACAAGAGAGTGCATGGCTGATGGAAATTGGTTACCAAACTCTCCTGTGTGTGAACGTAAGTGCATCCAGTACATCTTGCGCACACTTACCAATTCAGATGTTCTGCTTTTAAACCTTTCCCGTTCTGATGACGTATGTGTCTACGTTATCAGTTTTTCTTCCGATTCCATTCCGATGATGTTCCGATGACGTACATGTACGTCATCGAACTGAAAGAAAGAAAAAATAACTTTATTGGTACCGAAACTCCCACAAGGCCATGCAGGAGAGCGTGTGGCACAGTTTGGCACCAGCTATCATTCTCCTCGGTGAATACAGTGTCTTTAAAAACAATGGCGCTAGGCCTTTCTAAATAAATTAACGCTAACCGCTCGCGTGTTTCGAGATTCATCGGCGAACGGGACACACCACCCTGAAACTTGCAAATGTCTCGGAACGGGAAAGGGTTCATTTTGAAGGCAGAGTTGTGGCACATTGATCGGGGCGCTGCGATTATGATCCTAGCAACCATGAGTTCAATTCTCAATTCCCAGCTGTGACTAACATCAGCGGTGAGCGATATCCAACCCCAACCCCATTCCACCACCCCAGTGTGTGTTGTCACCACAACGTGGCACCGACATTTCCTTCGCACGTTCGAGATTTCTCTCGCACAGTGGTGTGGTGCAGCCTGCAACCCCAGGGGCACAACTGACGGGTTGAGAACCGCATCAATAAATGACTGATGTATGCATTCATATCCCATCAGGCATGGAAACGAGCAGCTCTACATTTAGTCAGAGCGAGTCGGTACGAAAAGTCACGTTACTTACTGGAGCTGATCACCCCCCCCCCCTCTGTTTTCCTCCTTCGCCCATATGCAGCCGTGCAGTGCCCAGAGCCTCTTGAAATCCGTCACGGGACCATCAGCGTTCCCAGCAGCCTGATATTCGACAGCGTCATCCGGTATCGCTGCAACGGCAAAATGCAGCTGATGGGTCCCAGCCTGCGCACATGCCAAGCGGACAGCACGTGGAGTGACCGCGAGCCCATATGCATGGGTGCTGCCCTTTCTCATCGCCACAGCCATCATCATCAGTGTCACGGTCATCGTCTGCATTATCATCATCACCATCACCACCACCAGCATCAGCATCGTCATCATCTGTGTGAGAACTATCATCGGCGTTGTCATCATCATGATCTTCATTGCCACGGTCATCATCAGCATTGTCATCATCATCACCACCACCATTAAAATCATAAACATCAGTATCAGTCATCATCAGCAGTCATCATTGCCATCAACATCATCACTGTCACAGCCGTCATCACCGTCAACATCATCAAAATCCTCATAACAGTCATCTCAGCATTGTCATCGCTATCAAGATGATCATCATCAATTTCACAGTCATCGCCAATGACATTATCACCATTAATATCATTATTATCACAGTCATCATCAGCATTGTTATCATCTCTATCAACATTGTCATCAGTGTCATGGTTGGTCATCGTTGGCATTGTCACTTTCACCATCATTACCATCACACAATCATGAGGAACACAGTCATCTTCAGTAGTCTTGTAATCATTGTTATCATCATGGTTATCAGCATCACTGGTAATCATCATTTTACACCATAATCGCCATCAAAATTATCTTCACAAGTATCATATTCGTTAGAATTATCATCGCCATCACACTTCTCACCATCAGTATAAGGTATCTTATCAGTAAAAATAATATAATCATGACATGTATTCTATTGTCGTCGCTAATACTGGGTAATGCAGTCACGAATTATACGAAGCCGTGAGCCATCGTCACCCACGATCATGGCGCGGGTGGCGCATGTAACAGCATCGCCTTTTGTTGCAGCTGTTCTCTGCCCACCTCTTAAGAATATCGAGAATGGAAAGTGGCTGGGCGGGGAAGGCACCGACAGTGTTGTGAGGTTTAGCTGCAACGAAGGGTACGAGCACTTCCAACAATCACCGTGGAGCGGGTCTCTTGCCAGTTTCACTCCATCAAACTGCACTTTGCCTGACTACTTTGTTGTAGCACTGAACTCTGGATTGAACAAAGTCGAGTCAAAGTTTTTTTTCCTGCTTTAGTGAACATGAAGCTGGTGCTCATTTTCTATTCACTGCCCAGTCCCTGTTGACTTACCCCCAAATTAGTCATATTTTATCGACCCCAGAGGGAAGATGGGCTGAGTCAACCCGCAACAAAGATTTGAACTCCTTTCATCTGCGCAATGCATGTGAAGAGGAGTCGAGAATGGTTTGAAGCACTTCTTTAATTCACCAATGCACAGCTACACTCGTTCCACAACCAACCTCGAACACCCCCCCGTCCCACAGCGCCCTTTAAATCATCTCCAATACACATCCCCGTCTGGCACGCCTTGGTCCGGGTGACGTCGTGATTTGCGTGGTGCGTGTGTGTGAGGGTGGCTCGCAGAGCCACTACATATGTATTTAAGGACCATTACAAACAAATGTAAAGTGTTTTTTTTAAATAGGCAACACTGATGACAACGTCGCCATTATTGGCTATGCCTTTACATATGAAATACGCAAAACAAGTTTTGTATTGAATGTATCATTCTGTGTAGGTCGCCTAAAATGTGAATACAGTATTGTCAAACTCTTTGATTTTTTCAGTAAAGTCACGTAGGTAAAAAAGAAAATAAATGAACACAACTAAATTATTTAAAATAAATGAAAACAACTAAATTATTTAATTTATTTTTATTTTATTTTTTATCTACGTGACTTTACCGACAAAAACCAAAGAGTATGGACCCTTGCAGTCACGAAAGCTTCAAATCTCGAAGTATTTCGATTTAAAGCTTTCGTGACTGCAGGGATTCATCTTCTTGGTTCTTTCGGTAGAGTCACGTAGAAGGGAAGTAATACAATAATAAAAATAAAACATAATAAAATAAAATAATTCTCACGACGTTTCGGCTACAACGCAAGCAGCCGTCTTCACCTGAAGACGACGTTTCGGCTACAACGCAAGCAGCCGTCTTCACCTGAAGACGGCTGCTTGCGTTGTAGCCGAAACGTCGTGAGAATTATTTTATTTTATTATGTTTTATTTTTATTATTTTATTATTTCCTTTCTACGTGACTTTACCGAAAGAACCAAGAAGATCTCGAAGTATTGTCAAAGCTATTCAATATCTAATCGTGTTTATTCTTCTTCAGTTTTTTGCTGGCTGGGCAGGATACAATCACTTGCCTTCCGAATGGGCAGTGGTCAGGATATCCACCCACTTGTCAGCGTGAGTGCCAACATTGTTCATGTGCCCCATGCGCTGGTGTTAACACCAGTGGCATCACATTGCCCTGAACACACGAACGTCAATGAACACATACACGACATCCATAGCACTAAGAGATGGTGCGAAGCAGTAGGTGGGAGCCATACATTATTGCCAGATATCGATATTCTTGTTCAGTGTATTTATAAATAAGTGGGACAAAAACCTGTTTTTACCAGTGGCACACCACGGGAAGGAGATTGAGTCAAGGATATAATAATGTGAATGTTTAGGTCCTTGTTGTGTGTACATTGGTGTGTCCATTCTCATCAAGGGGCATAAACCTTCACGCGAACTCTGGTCATCCTCGTAGCAGCGGCTTTTGGCTGGCCATCGAACAAAGATGGTCACCGCATTGCGTGCTTTCAGACGCGCTTCTGTGGCCGTCTGGAACGCTCCTCCTTCCGAAATTGGAAGCCACTGGAGCTATGCACTTTCAAAGCTAGATTAAAAAACAATTTCATTAGGACTGCTTTTTGTTTCATGTTTGTTATCCTTCCTCCGCACCTCCGATTAGCACGGTTAGCTACGTATGGTGCGAAAGAAGTTCAACATACGTGCATTAGTAATATATAATGTAGCCTGCATAGGGAGGTGTTTGTTTTGATATTTTTGATCTAATGTGCAAACTATAGATAGTTTAAAATAGTTTTTTTTAGCAAACGGTTAACCGGAACTGCATCTTCCGAGGACCATTACCTATTCAGCCACCAGCTCTTCAATTGGTCTTGAGTTAACCTGTACCGCACCCGAAATTCATTCATCTTCACTCCCTGGGTTAATACAGAGAAGTAAGGGTACGTTCGTTATGTCATTGGATGCAGTTACAGATTTCCCTTAGAAGAAAGCACGTGTTTTAGGACAAGACCAGAACGCGTGCTGTTAAGTCACGACGTGCGTGCGTTGCGTGCGTGCGTGCCATCGGCAACGTACAAATGGACCCGCAAAAAAAATATGCCGTCCTCCCGTTGACAGCTGTGTGCCCTCCACCGACCCTGGACCGATATGCCGCCATACCTCAGATCATCAGAGACAAGCAGTACTTCACAGTTGGAGAGAGAGTGGAGTTTCACTGCGGCGGAGGCTATCGCGATTGGTCCTACACCCTCGTGTGCAACAAGTGGCATAGGTGGCAGCAGGTGGAAAAGCACTTCTTACATCCCTCGGGATGGAAATGCGTGGGTGAGATGTTTCAGTTTACTCTTCTTTTCAGTGAATTGCGAGCGCTTTGTTCACGGTGTGGCGGTGATGCACGCGGTCATTGTTTCTGCAACGTATTTCCCGGCTGTCGACCGTGTAACGCAACAAAAGTGGACGTGATTCGGGTTGTGCGTGAGCACGCAGAGGCGAGGGACATGCCTCGTTCATGAAAAGACTAGAAGAGTTTAAGTAAATGAAGTTAAAATCGGATGACGTCATCATCGTTGTCATCATGACATTGGGGAATTGCCACCAATGGCTCCAGGCCACCAACATATATTTGCACTTCCATTGGGGGTGCCGTGGTGGCGAGATGTTAACTACCTCGCCTGGTATGAAAGAGGTGGTGGGTTCGGTCCCGACCCTGACGCCTGTATATTTGGAGTTTGCGTGTTCTCCCTGTGGTCACGTGGATTTATCTCTGCGTCCTCCGGTTTTTCTCTCCACATTTACAATCAAATTCTTAGGTTTTTTCGGTAAAGTCACGTAGGTAAAACATCAAAATTAATAAAATAAATAAATAAAATAAAATATTAATTTTGATGTTTTACCTACGTGACTTTACCGAAAAAACCTAAGAATATGAATCATTGCAGTCACGAAAGCTTCAAATCTAGAATTTACAATCAACATGCGGTTTAGAGTATAATTGGCTGCCATACATTTCCACATGATCAGCCACTTCATTGGGCTACCATTTGTGATAGCCATGTTGCTTCTGAAAAAGAGTAAAATAAAAAAGCTTTTTTTCGCTTGAGTATTGGGACCAATTTCAAAGTAACGTTTTACGTTTGAACATGTATCACTCGCCATTCCTCCGGCTGCAGGTGCCGTGGCCGAGCACTCTGCGCGTGTGTGACTTTGTGTTACTTTGCTGCAGCGGATTCGCAGTTTGAACCGCGTGGCTGACCCCCGGTTCGTACCAGTGCTATTAAAAAAAAGAGTAGGCCGTGCACTGCGTGCTGAGCTCATGATACAAATTGGCAAAGACATAAAAAAATATATTCATGTAAATTACTTATCTTGGAGAAGGCACGAGGGCTACATCCCCCCCCCCTACCCCCCCCCCCCCCCCCCCCCCCACTGTGAAAGCACTGCAGTGTATCTACTTGTCTGTGAAACAAAGCATCTTCGTGACAGCCCTTGTCCTATAATAATGGCCTAATGCCGCATTTTTCTTAAATTCATGTGAAATTTGAAAGGTACTGTATTCTGAATGATCAACTCGCGTACTTCTGAATCATCAACTTCGATTAATTTTATTATGTTGGCTAAATGCCCACTTCTTTTGGGGTTTTCTGTTTCACAGCATTCTGTTACAGGCCAAAGCCAAACTTAAATGCAGTTATTGCAAGGAGCTACGAACACATAGACTTTTACCCCGTCGGTAAGTATGCTTATTTTGATTGCAAGCTTGGATATACTTCCGAAGCCTATGGATACTACATGGAATGTGCAGTCGACAAAGGAGGTGAAACTTACTGGAAGCCCTACAAAAAAGCACGCTGTATTGCTGGTATGTAACATCAGCACTGACAACATTAACCTCACAACCTTCAACACTCTTTACACTTCGAATATTCATTGTACATTGTGGCCCCAAAAGTGAAGGCACATAGGGTGATAATATGTATTTTAACATGTTCAAACCGACTTCCATTTACATTAACGCCTGCATGAATTACCCTTTGAAATGAATGTAGCTTTGTTTTACTACATTACTGGTTGTAACCTTTAAAGATTCATCAGTTATGTTTTGTTGTCTGAATTCACTCGGGGGTTCTTGGTCGACATTTGTAAACAGCAAATTCGAGGTGACCACACAGGAAGAAGAAAAGTAGACATTAATAACGATACCAGATCAAATGTTAACTTAAATAATAGACCATTAAAAGGTTTTGATGCCAGTATTGAAATACATTAAATAACCCGACGTGTCCTGACGTTTTGTACTTGATACTGCTCACACGCTCACACGTGACCTCTCATCCCCAATGAGAGCCGCTTGTCCTTCATATACCATAGTGTGCATTAATACAAACCCTGCCCATTTTTTCTAGTGCGTATAAAGCAGCGCTCTCTGTCACCTATCATAATGTAAAACAAGTAAACCCGTAAAAACAAAGTTTTTCACTATAAATCCTTTATATGCGTGGCATCGGGGCGGCGAGAATCCTCTCGTCCTCTGGCTTGAGATGGCTGCCACCTATGGGTCAGATGATTGTCTGGCAGCATTAAACAATTAGTAATTAAATATTTTTTTAAAAATTCCCTAAACAGTTTAAACTTTTTGAAAAAAATTTTCACGAAAATGCATTGTCACGCACAACGAGTCTGTGTGCAAAATGTCAGCTCGATTGGATCACGGGAAGTGGGTTAAAAAACGACCGAAAGATTTGCACGGTCCTAAGCAAGCAAGCGAACTTAATATAAAGGATTTAAAAAGGCAATTGTTTGGATGAAATGTCAACGTCGTCCGTTTCACTTGTGGCAATAAATAATAAAATTGCGCCACCCTTCCGGGGGTGGAGGATTGAGACTGATTCGCCCGGCTCATTTGTGATTTGGACATGTTTCGCTGAAAATATGGGGAAAGGCTATGGAATTCAAATCAAAGTGCAAGGTGCACTTGTGTTGCGGTCGTGAGTTTAAACTAATTTTGTTATTTGTGTGTTCAGGCAGAAGATGGTACTGAAAAGGTGCTCGCAAGTGTCCGCCGATCAGAGCTCTGCGATGGGGACTTTGATCGCATACGATGTTCATCTCTGGTCACAATGTTTTTTTTTTAATGACATTGTATTGCGTGGCGTCATTTACTGATCATTTCTGTATTGGAATAAAATCAAATAAAATCTGCATGTCAACCAGCTCGTTCCATGTGTGGCAGTGTTATTCCCTTGGGATAAATTGCAATGCCTCCCGTTATGAGAAGTGCCTCAATATGAAACAAATTAAAGACCTAATGAGCGGCAGCACGGTGCAGTGGTCACGTCAACTAGCCCAAGAAGACATCCATCGCGGAGATGGAGTGACAACATCGGCTCGTTTGAAGGGGCTGGGTAGACTATTCCCATGGCGTGACCGTGAGAGACGGTGACAGCTTAGGGAGTTCCTAATCAATGGGATTGATCCATTGCTGATGGTGCTGGAAATGTCAATGCACATCAAGGTGCAATTCTGCATGTCAGTGTTGATTGTGCCGTGCGGTTTGAATATTCCCGCGCGTAAATTGTGACCGCTGATCCCATAACCCTCGTGCGACGGGAGTAATTTGCTTCGGGCGGCCTATATGCAAATGTTTCTGGATGTCGACTTGTAATTGGCTAGAGTCGCCTCTGACAGTGCCCTCTTGGCTCCACCCCCCTTTGTCTGGCTCTGTGGGTGGGGTTTGAATCGACCAATGGGAAGCCGACCTACCCCCTCCCATTGAATTACACCTGCCAAGTTGAGTCTCTTGAACGATTCAATTCCAATCGATTATAATGTAGTGTATAAGAAAGTGACTTCAATCGACCGCTTTTGTTTTACTTGTGCATAGTTTATTGGTTTGTTGTATTCTAAAATAAGCGGGTTGGGGGGTGTTGAAGGTTTTTTAAATGCACTTTTTGTATACAACAGACCAGCCTGCCACTGCCCAGTTAACATGCTAAACGTTGGGCCAATGTTGAGCCCAACGTTCCACAGTTGGACTGGGTGACTGTAATAGCTCAGCTTATTGGAATGTTAATAGCTCAGCTTATTGGAGAGTATATTGAGTACATTGATTATATTGATGTATTTTATATTTCGTTTTTTCACATCGGTTTATTGTATGGAAGTAGGGTAGTTGCAGTTTTTTAGCGTCAATATGCTAAATTCCTCTGTTGATATGTAAACTCCTTTGTCAAGGCACTCTGCTCCTCCCACCCAGCTTAAATATACGCTGCCAAGCTTAGCAGTGTTCATTACGACGCTGTTTTTCAGACAGCTCTGTTCTTCACCTGAGGACGGCTGCTAGTGTTGTGACCGAAACGTCGTGAGAATTTTATTTTATTATGTTTTATTTTATTATTTCCCTTCTACGTGACTTGACCGAAAGAACCAAGAAGATGGGTGAATGTACCTTTATGGACCACTTTAGGCATTGTACTGCGCCCACAACAGTTGGTGGAGTTCAGCGCGAGGCGACGTTTATTTCCTTTGTTTTACCTCCCTGAACTGGAGGTGGAAATTCCACATTCCTGCGGCTTGCGGGAGACTACGTAGGATCGCAGCACGCCTAGCGATCCAGTTCCGCGGAGGCGAGGGACGGCTGGTGGATCGCACCGTTGTTGTGAAACTTCCCTTCCAGTGGGGGTTCGAGAAAGGAAGGATCCATGATCAGGCTCGCCATTTAGATCTTACGGGTCAGGGTCGCTCAATCAGCGGGTTTACCTAACTTCTATATTTGCTATAAAATATCACGAAGAAAATATGCATGAATGTCCGAAACTAAAGGCGTAAAACGTTGCCATTATTTTAGGATCAACCTCCGCTCGCATTGCAATCCCGCGGAGCAGCTGGAGGGACCGGTTTGTGCGATTTCGCGTCTATGCGGCTAAGCAATGTCGACCCAAAATTCGCTCTATGCGGTTTGAATTCACTCCATAAGCGGCGATGCGGTCGTACGAGGCACAACGGTACGCAATGTGTGTGTGTGCAGTACTCTATGCGTTACTCGGCAGGCAGCCGTTTCACAGAGATACACAGATATACAAAACTACACAGATAAATACATACACAAGTACATACAGAGAAACAACATTGTGTGTGTGTCCTGTATGCGCTACTCGGTAGGCAGCCGTCTAACAGAGATACACATATATACAAAGATAGACAGAGATATACATACACAGGTACATACAGAGACAACATTGTGTGTGTGTGTGCTCTATGCGCTACTCGCTTCGTACAGCCCGTTGTCTTTTTTATCCTTTATATTAAGTTCACTTGCTTGCTTGCGCGCTTACGACCGTGCAAATCTTTCGGTCGTGTTTTAACCCACTTCCCGTGATCCAATCGAGCTGATATTTTCCACACAGACTCGTGCGTGACAATAAATTTTCGTGAAATTTTTTTTTACAAAATTGTACACTTTTTAGGATTTTTTTTTCTATTTTATTACCAATTGCTTAATGGTGCCAGGCAATCATCTGACCCATAGGTGGCAGCCATCTCAAGCCAGATGACGAGAGGACTCTAGCCGCCACGCATATAAAGGATTTATAGTGAATAACTTTGTTTTTACGGGTTAATTTTTTTGAAGCCATCGACCGCATAAAGCGAGGAAAACCTGTAATTAAATTGTCACTATGAATGTCAGCTCGCTTCCCTCCGCCACCCACCCGGTCCAAGACAATTAGCCCCAATTAGTCGCTCGCTCGCAAACATCTCAACGGTACATCAAAGATAAAGTACTGCACGAATATTCAATTTGTCATTCGTAGCGAGCCTTGCACGTCTATCCTGCACAGTGCACGTACGCATGTGTTTATATGCGTGTGTACTACGCATGTTGTTGATCAGGGTGTCTGAAAATGAATATACCAAAAAGACCATTATTGTTATTCGAGATCCTGACGTACATTTAATATGACTACGTGTAATAGACGTTAAGTTTTAGTTTTTTAAATGTGTTATGGTATTAATTAGATGTTCTCGTTTAATTTGAAGCTAATTTCATTAGGTTTGTTTTCTACCTGATGACGATTGTTTGTGTTGCAATCGAAACGTCGTGTTGTATTATTTAATTGTTTTTTTTTTCTACGTAACTTTACCGAAAGAACCAAAGAGTAGATGTTCTCGATTTATGAATAAACTTCTACATGTCCATCATTCACTATAATAAATCATTCACTATACTCAATTCATTACAATCACTCATTCACTATAATCGATCATTCACTATAATTGATCATTCACTATAATCAATATAATTAGGCGCATACTCTGAGGACATATTTTTACAACATAGCATCAACGATACGATGTTTAATTTATTCAAGGTCCCTTGCTTTACTAGTGTAGACTTTAATGTGTTTATTTTTTAACTCAGAGACTTAAAAAATCGAATTGTGTTCATTCGGGTGAACTGGCGGATTTTGTTATAAATCAGAAAACTGGGTTTCTCCTGAAACAAAAAGTACTAATCAATATAAAACGCACAAGTCTAATGCATATATGTATATAAAATTTATGTCAGTATTTTGAATACCAATACAACTGTTCAAATTCTGGGATCTTTCGGTAAAGTCACATAGATAGGTTCAAAGAAAATAACAAAACATAACAAAAACTACGATGTTTCGATCGCAACACAAGCGGTCGTCTTCAGGAAATGGGGGGTTAGCTTCCAAGGCAAACTGTTTATAAGGGTTCGAAATTGGTGTAGCCAGCCCTCTGATTGGTGGAAACCCAACCACTGTCGGGTTGGCTGCCCACCACTTACATTATCATTGGCTGCTGACATTTGGGCTACGCCCATTTCGAACCCTTATAAACAGTTTGCTTTGGAAGCTAACCCTCCTTTTCCTGAAGACGACCGCTTGTGTTGCGATCGAAACGTCGTAGTTTTTTTATATGTTTTCTTTTTTTCATTGAACCTATCTACGTGACTTTACCGAAAGACCCAAGAATATGAATTCCTGCAGTCACGAAAGGTTTAAGTCCAAACTGTCCAACTTTATTTTTGGTAAATTCATTTTCGGACACCCTCTACATATTGCTGGCATGTAAGTTGCACTCTCAACCACTGTTCAAACGTTGACCCAACGTTCATATTTCATAGTGCATCCATAAAGATGCTAGCTTATTGTACTCCATATTCATAGAATCCTACGAACAGATGTATAGATGTATAGTGTAAATATATACAACGTTTGATGCATTGTCACTCGGGTAAAGTAAGGTGAGATGGGATCTGATGCGCGCAAAATAATTCGCGTTGAGACGTTCCGAAGGGTAATTAGATAAAGTTGATGTGCATGTGAGGTGGATTGCCGTGGCATCGCAGTACGGTGAGTGATGAGCGATTGCGTTTGAAGAGCCTTATCTCGAAGAGTGAAGTGGCCACGAAGAGACATTGCCCAGAGTACCATGGGGTGTGAAATCCTGCACTGCATTGTGACTCAGTTACTTCCCATGTTGTAAATCTGTGGAGCCAGGGATTTAGTTATGTACTGTACGTTGAACTTTTTTTGCGCCAGACATAGTCCCAACCGTGCAAATTGGAGGTCTTTATTTTTCATTTTTTTTCGTAAAAGCACAGTTCTGCCCACTAATTTTTTTTTATTTGGTTTGGGTTCGTGTCTCAATGTTTGACAAGGGCTTAGATCCATAAAACAAACTGATTGTATCAGTAGCGAACGGTTCAACATCCAATGTGCCTCATTTCCTGTAAACCAGTCGTGTTTAAATTCGAGGTTGCCAGCGCAGTGATCAACGTCACAATTCAAAGTTTGAAAAGTTGGAAATGATGACAAGGAGACTATTAAACGTTTGGTTGATCATGGTTTTTTTTTATAAGTGCTACCAACGTCGCATATATGTGCCAACTACATACTACATACATTGTCGAGGGGTCACACTGCACAGTTCACTCCGTCAGCGAGGTTTCGTGCAATCTTATAAGCCCGAGTCCAATACTCGGATGGGTGACAGCCGCCAAGGCTACGTTCCTCTGCTATTGGTGACGTTAAATCGTTTTTAGATTATGTATTTATACTGGAGGAATCCGATGAGCTATTAAGCAATTTTTCACAGATGTCCAGTCGGGGAGGGTAAGGACGTTACACCAACAAGCAATACTAATTCCCTCTGGCAAAACAAGAATTTAAAAAAATCGAGCGAC